TGGTTGGGCAAAACCTCATAGACCCAACCCTTACCCGTGTTGATGCGTCCCTGCCGGACACCGTCTAATCGGACACGTGGTGTACCAACAGCCTTACGCTTGGACTTGTGGGCTTTGGGCTTTGGCGCCTTTGTTGACGGAGGTGCAGCTAGCTCACTTGAGCTCGCCGCTGTGCTTGTCTCTGACTTTGGCAAATCTGGCCTCTTTGTTTTCTTGTTCTTGGATCCTGCAGGTTTTCTGGGCTTCAGCCCACGCTTCATGACTTTGCGCTTGCTGCGGGTCACACGGTTGTTTGTTTGTTTCCTCCCCTTTTTCCCACTCCCTTTTCCCTTCCCAGCCTTCTTCCTCCCCTTTTTGAGCAATTTGGATTGGTTAGTGCGCATGTTTGCTTGCATCTGAGGCGAAATCTTTGGAGCGTCCACCTGCGAACAAGAAGTGAAGCGACAATCTTGAAAGCCTCAATCTGAAAAACTATCAAAAAATATCACAAAAGCACTGCAAGGGGATTGTGAACCACCACAAATGGAATGTGCCTTGGGGGGGGTGCCATCGCATAGCTTCAGTGGCGCAGGGCTGGGAGTGGTCATGATCTGCCCTTCATCCGCGTCCAATGGCTGCGTCTCCAACTGCAGCAGAAATCTAACAAAACAACGGTCCAAACACAAAAACTATGTCATGTTTCGATAAGATGTCGCAAGCTCAGTTGGGATAGTAGTATACTTATCTTTGCCCATGCTTAGCTCCCCCCCAGCTCAAGTGTAAACAGCAGGGTTCCAACCTAGCCTGGTCTGGATCCACTGTTGAGGAAGCGGTCGCGGGAGCATTTCCTAGGATCCGCAATGCCGGGCGTGAGGGATGAAACAGAATCATGGTGCACATGCCCCTGTCCGTTGAGCACGATCACAAAAGACAAGTGGCCAAGCGCAGGCTTAGCACAGCATGGCGCTTGTTGCCTCCTGGTCAAAACTGGATGATCAAAACAAATTGCTATGTCAATGGCATGGGTGAAGCACACCCAAACAACACTGCCTGAGTTCAAGAGTTGAACTAATTACAGTATAATCTCAGGCTGGCACTTGTGGAGCGGATCGCCAATTTCCAAGGCTTGAATGCCAGCCAAGACTTGCATGAGCTCTGCGTGCTGCTCTGGTGACAAGAGAATGTCCGCCGAGGGCGTCCTGACAATTGCATCAAGTTCTTCCGACAATGCATCAGCAAAGCATTCGCGGGCTGCATGGTACCGAATTGTTCTGCTTCTGCGCCTGTCTTTTTCAGACGTCTCTGCGGGGACCTCGGCCTCATTCATATAGCAATCCACGTCATGAAGGCTCTGAGCCGGTGAATCATCAGGACCATTGGCCTGGTCCTGCTCCCACTGCTGCACTTTGTGCGTCCATTGCGCTCGATACTCCGCAATGAGCTTGAAGAGAGTTTGAACACCCTTGTCCTGTCAGGGGATACGTGCAAGAGTCCATGGAGTCTTGATATGGATTCTTTTTCCAGAATTATGTATATAATAATTATGTAATGAACACCAAAATACGAAGCAGCTGATACACAATTTTTGATACCCCAGTCCCGTGGGACCTGATTGCGCTTAAAAGCATCAAGTTGTCTTCTGAAGCTGTACGTGTACAGCCTGCGGAGGTCCCACGCAGCCGTGTACGACTCCTTCTTTTTGGGCTGGTAGCTGCAAAGCTTGTAGAGCTTGACAACCTGCGCAGCCCGTGACGCGAGCATGCTACGAAGCACATGTGCATGTTCACTCACACTCCGACTCATGACTCCCCCAGCCTCATGCTCGAGCTGAACCACGTCGCTAAAGCAACCATTGAAATGCTCTACCATTTCTATCAATGCTTGGCAGTTCAGTTCCACAGCTTTGGTGCAAATTGGATGAAGTTCTTTATCTTCATCATTCTCTGACTCCCGCATGGGAATAGGCCACTGGACAAATGGCACTCCCCTTTGCAACCTTCTCCGGATTATAGTATTTTGCTCCCACCGCTCTGCCAAATCCCCAGCCCCAGCCATCACGAAGTACGAAGTCACAAGCTTTTCACAAAATCTCCCAACACTTGAGCCAGCTAATATATATATATATATTGGAAGTTAATGTGTGGCATGCATTCTCTTTGGCTTTATGCACATGAACCACAACTATGGCAATCTCAACATGAGCGTCGCCCCGGTCGCACGCAGGACAATCAGCCAGCTTCACCATGAGGGGCTTGGCAAGCAGGGCGCAGAGCGGAGGATCCTCGCATGATTGACCCCAATATACCTCAATCCTGACCGTAGATGTACACTTTGCAGTTGACCATGAAACTTGTTATGAGTGGATCCGCATATAGACAGCACCGCGCATCTCATTTCACCCTTCGAGCTGGTCACAGAAGAAGAAAAAGTTCATTGAACAGTCAGTCCTTGAGATAGATCTCGGAGAGCTCATAGGGCACAAGGCGCTGGGGATTTGAGTCTCGATGATGATGGGGTATTTGGGTCCTACCCTCGGTCTTTGGCAACCTGGCTATCTTTCTCCGTCTTGTGTTTGGAACTGAGACATCTCTCGCGTCTCTCAAAGTCAGTCCTACACAATATACCAGAAAAGGTTGTCGGTTAGCATAAAAATGACTGCTAATATATGAGAGGTGAGAAAAATGGCCACGGCCAATACCTGGAAGAGCGCGGCAAAGGTGAGCAAACTTGGTATAAATCCCCCAAGAATGGCTATATATAGGAAGTTCACTATTTTCATCCAAAGTGGACGGCTTTCCCTGATACTTGCTGAAAGTCGCAGGTTTTCTGAAAGTGGCCTTTATTAATAGGCAACTTCGGCGTTCCAGGTAGTGGCGCTCGGGCAAATTACATTAAGAGCCCCCTTGCCTTTTGAATCTCCTCAGACTTCACGACTCTCTGCTTCTCCAGATCCAAATCAGACAGGTCTGCATTCACGATGACCGTCATGGGGACGGAGAGGATGAAGCGCAGCCACTCCGCCTCCTCGCCGCGCCCAATGCTCTCAGCGATTGCCTCCAAGAAGGCCAGCCAAGGCTCATCCTCTGAAAACCTGACACCAAACAGAAACTCTTAACCGGGAAGGGCTAGGAAGAATAATTTCCAGCGGGCACATGCAAAAGGTACCTCTTAACTCGCAAGTATTGACTAAAAGAAAGGCTGTCACTGTGAGAGGAAAGCCTGGCCTGATCAAGGGCTTCTTGCCGCAGGCTTCTTCCTTGCTCCTCGCAATCATCTCCAGCTGCAGCGTGTCTGGAAGCGCCGCTGGCGAACCAAAGAAGTGAGCCTTCAGCTCATCGACCGCAGCTGTCCGAAGAGTGCCTGCTGGAGCGGCCAAGCGGGTGCAATCCATCAGAGCCTCAAGTGCCCAGCAAAAAGTTGGATCTACACAACCAAGCCGCAGGTGGCATTATTATACTATACAATCCCCATTTGCCAAAACTGGTGGAAATTTGGATGCCAACTCACCAAGGCACAAATGGATTTCCAACACCCTTCAAAGTGAACTTCACAGACTTGCTTGGATCCTCACCGGTCTCCTTCTTCCAAGCCTTTTCCAGCAGCTTTGGAGTGATCACAGTCATGTGGGTGTCGCTAGCCGGAAGCTCTGCCACATTCAACTTCCTCTCCGAGGATCCGAATCGCAAGTCCCGCTTCGTGATGGTTTCCTTTGCGTGTGCATGCTTGCAACTGACCCTGGGAAAAATGATCCAATTCGGCTCTGGATGCAAAGGGAAGATCAAATACCCCCTCAGAAATAAAAGCAAAAGGAAAATGAAAAATTGGACTGACCAAGTGTTTCAAGTTGCCAATGCTTTAGCCATCTTGTCCATCGCTTCCTTGTTGGCATGCGTTGCATTGAAGTCGTTGAACTCAGCCATGGCAGCACAAGCGCTTGCAGCCCGGCCCTGAAATGCACACAGACCCTCCGAATGGCAAGTGCGCATGTGAACTTCACTAGTGGCCTTGGTTTTGGAGCACTAGTGGCCTTTATACTTTCGATTACTTTGAGCTTGGGAGGAATAGTGACCTTTGTCAAACCTTGCAGTCATTCATTGGTTGAGCCAGCCTGAGCCCAGCCAACGGATACAAACACTGTGTGACCAAAAACGCCTTCGTCGCGTCCTTCTCTCTCTCTCTCTCTCTTTCTCTCTCTCTCTCTGTGGTGATTGAGAAAGCGCCTTCGCCCCGTCCCTCTCTCTCTCTCTCTGTGATGATTGAGACTCCGGGCAATGAGCTTTCTGATGGCATCTTCCATCGCCGTCGCGCCGACTAAATGTGAACATAAAAATGAAATCAGTGGTTGGACTGCAGTTTGACTTGAGCTCTACCACATCTTGGTCTTGTGAGCTATTCTGCCAACTTTGTGAAGTAGGTTGTCTACGACACTGCCTGACCCCCCCGCCCCCGCGCCGTGACCCCTGTCGAACGGCGGCTGACGCAGCGACGATTCACCGACATGTCCACTGGTGCACCCGGTTGAAATCAAGACCCTGCCAAAAAAAAATCACATTGAGCAAAAGCAAGCCTGGCAAGGTGCCAACTACACCTTTCCATTCAGATGATGCAAATGATGCAAATTGCATTTCTTGCATCACCACCCCTCAAAAATCACCTCCAACACAACCTCAAAAAACCTTCCCTCCACGCACCCTCCTCCCCCAGCATGTGCCGAGTTTACGTGTACCTTTTGCCGGCCACCCCCCCAGACCCCCTAACTACTCACTTCGTTCGCCAAACACAACTCCGCTGGCGCCTTCTACGAAGGCTGGCTTTCGTAAAAGGCAAACACAGGGCCCCCCTATGAAGAAGAATCCCTTCTTACAGGACCAATCTCAATCCACAATTCCAACTCCAGATTGTAATACATTTTGCTAAAGCAAGGAGAACTCAGGTAGCTGAAGCTACCCTTTGAGGGTCCAAACCCCTGCTATGGAGGACCCGTAAGGATTCGGGCCAGGCATCGCTTCACGACGAGGGGCTAAAGAGGCTACACGCCGCAGGCTTCACTTTGGTCACCTGGAGGCCGCCTTTTTTCGGCGCGCCGAAAAGGGTGGAGACAATGAACAAACCAGGTCGGTGCAAATAGATGCAATTTCAGAGCGGCGGCGGCGGCCGCTTGGCAAGTACAGGTTTGAGAAGGTTGGAATATAGGGCTCGGAGAAGGAAGGACCTTCTTTTTCCAGCACCACCTAAGAACTGGGTGGTTTATAACCTACCTGACAGATGTTCCATCCCGCAGAAAATGAGCACTCCGGTTGAGCGGATGGTCCACATGATTTGGCCGGAACACTGAGGCTCTGAGGATCTCTGAGGTGCTGCCCTGAGGCTCCTTGTCATCTTCCCAGTGACCGAACTTGAATCTGCTAGATTTGAGGTCACCACCCAGACGCGACCCTGGACCCTCCGTTCAGGGACCGGGGCCAGGAGGGGTCCCAAACCCGAACCGAACCCGGTCCAAGAGAGGCCTTCAAGTTCGGTCGCTCGCTGGATGGGACTTCCAAAGTTCGGTCGCTGGGGTGTGTGGTGCTTTCCATGAGTCTTTTGTGGTGTGGTCCCCTCATACATGTTGGTTCAGTCCTTTCCACCCACCTTGTGAGGGTCAAGACTCTACAACTCTGAGCCTTTGGGTAGGATAGAATATGGCTGGGCAGACCCACTGCTCTGCATCTATTCAATCTATTCGAGACAGGGCAGGCCCTCAACCACGAGACCTCCTTACTTTCACACAAGAAAGACTCATTCCAGGGTAACCTTTTTGGAGTCCCATCCAGTGACCTTTTGCAGGCCTGTTGGTGACCTCAGACTACAGGATCACTGGGAAGATGCAGGTTGATATCGCTCCCCGACTGAAGCTCCACTTCGGAGGGGAGCCATACTGACCATGACTGACCCAACACCGAAACCGGACCAACACCGGGCTTTCATTTCAGTTTCGGGCTGAACAGCATCAGACCATCCCTTTCACATTAAAATTGTTCATTACACCTCTTAACAGTCTGACCTATAAAATTCAGGGGGTGGACATGTCAGGGCACCTGATGCTGGATAGATTCATGAGAGTATTTAATGCCTCTGCTACATGCCTCCGCGGGTCTGCCTCAGCTCACTGCTATAGCTTGTACCACCCAAAGGGCTCGGAACTACAAATATAGCCTACATGAGTGGTCTATTTTGGGGTGAATGTAGGTCATACCGTGAGTCATTTTGAGTCCGGCACTTTTACAGGTGACAAGGCGCCGGACTTCCAACTGGTCCGGATTCTTTTTGCAGCCCAAAGGAGGATCCAGGTCTATTGGCACCACCATCGTAGGCGTTCGGGTACGGTGTATATCACACCGCCTGTGACAGGCAACACGGTCTTTGTGTGACACAGCTTTCTGCCTGTGGTTCACGACCAACAACGAAAATCAACGCATGCAACACACAAACACCACCTGACTCTCCGTTTGTACATCGAAAAATGGTGCCGGCACCATCCATTACGAGCCAGGATTTGTATATAAGCAATATTGGATCGACATTTCAGAGTCAGGGTTGTCATATACACTACCCAAACTGGATATGTGCTAGTTGTACCTGTTTTATTTATATGCCCAAACACTCTAATTACCCATGTATGGCATATTCACAAACATTGAAAAGGGGTCAATGTAGGCATATTTTTCATACATGGAGTGTCTGGGATATAGGTCATGTAACCTTTTTCTTCTTCTACAAAGAACCGGATCGCCGGGTCCGCCGCGCCCAGCGCCCAGAACCCGCGGGTGCTCGCTGGCTCTGTTTCAGCGCGCCTGAAAAATGGACAGATCCGTGATCCGATGCAAATGAGCCACTTCGATCTCCACCGAGGTCCTCGGCTCGACGATAACGCGAGGACGAGTTGGTCTACCGACTCTTCGAGGTGGGAGTGGGTGCGTGCGAGGACGAGCTGACCTGTTGGTCTACCTCGGAAAAGGAGGCCCCAGTCGTACCGGGACCTTCCTGCCGCGACCGAACTTCAGGATTGGCAGGTGTCCCTTTTACAGACTTGAGTGACCTTATTCTGAGATCTCAAGTTGAGTGACTGGGAAGGACCTGAGAAGCCTGAGAACTAAGGACAATAAACATTCAGTGGTGCCAAAAGAGTCCAGTTCGCAACCCGACATACCCGCAAGTTTCGAGCGCGCGTGAGTGTAGCCAGCGACATATACCCGCAACACTGTCGCCGGTCGGGCGAAGAGGTCGATGTCCTCTTCATACCACAGGGCACTTAGCATCAGACCCTAGGGCTCCAACCATATCCTCAGAAGGTGGTTGGACCCCCCTGGCACCCACCCCAACCACCTTCGAAACGGGTGTGGTTGGAGCCCTAGGGAGAGTACATACCAGCACCCGAAACTTGCCAGGTCACCGACCTCTTTAGGGCCCAACAACCCTCCAACCCTCGGAGACCTGTTGGTCGTCGGGTGCTGGTATGTCTCGGTTTGGTGGGACTGGGGATGGATGCCCTCTTGGGTCGAGTCGAAGTACACTCTAAAAATCATCCGGAGACCCCGGTGGCCCGAGGCCACAGACCCTTCGCGATGAGAACGTCCCCTTCTCCGGGCTGAAATGGTTGGCCACCAGTCCCGACTGGTGGATGGTCCCCGACTTCTGCTGGCGTTCCAGTTCCGGAAAAAAACCATAGATAAACATGGCATCGGGTCAGGTTTTGTGCATCTCAACTTGCTCACGGCCGACACATCCTCCTCCCAAAACGACGAAGCCAGGGGCACTGGATGGTATTGGGATGAGGGCTGTCAATATACCCTTTCTGGTGGACAAAAGTCCTTATACCCAGTCAACCCCCCCAAGAAGACCCTTCAAACAGTTCGCTTGACATGGCGTTAGTAGTTGACCAATCACCCTTCTTCGGGTTTCGGTTTCATTACAATCAATGGTGGGGGTTCGTTCTACGAACTTTCTTCGCCCAGGTGCGGCACGAACTTGTTGATGGGCTCCAGCAACAGCTTGTACACGGAGTATCCATCCATGTCCTCGACGTCGGAATCGTTATCTGTTGCCCAGAAGTGGGCCCAGTGGATGATGATGGTTCAGTTGCAGGCCTTTTTCAAAAAAGGTATAACCCAAACGCTCCAAACCCCTTTTGGTGGGTCCGGACCCCTCCATAGAATTCGGGTCCGGCCCCCCTTAGGAGGGTCCAGGATCGCATCTGGGAATCTGTTATGTATTGACCGCTATAGGTCATAAGGACACACACCATGGTCACCTTCCAGTCCCATCTAAACACGACGCTTTCCTTACCTCGATGCTCCCAGGCCTTGCGCACCGTGCCGGCCACCTTGTAGTCTTGCCGTCGGATCGGTGCTAAGGTGAAGCCATGACCTGGGCGATCCCGTGTCGGACGCGGTGCACCGGAACCGACCATCGAACAACAATGGGAAAGACCTGGGTTCTGTAGTCTAAGACATTTTTTACAAAATAACACAAGTCCGGTTCTTCGGTAAAGGCCATGATAACAACAGTTTTGAATCCCAGGGTTGACCTACATTGACCCTGAAAACATCTTAACCTCAACTGATCGGCAAATGTTCCAGTCCCATGGGTCTTGATCCTTGGGAAAAATAGACCTTCCCATTGGAGGTGAAGGGCCAGTGATCATCCGTGATCCACGAAGGGAAAAACGCCTCGAGACCTGGTATCTATATGGGAGGGGCTGGCATCAATGCGAAAGCAAAAGGCTCCATGCAAAGAGTGCAAAAACAAAAACGGTTGGTTACGGTCGGTTACGGTAGTGACTCTGAAGGGAGTTTGCCAAGAGTTAAGTGATCATGGGCAAAGCTTCAGAAGAGCAATGTGTGTAAAGGCTTTGGACACCAGTGACACCAATACTCAGCTTTGTTTTTTTGCAAAGCTTCAAACCCTGTCAGATCTTTCTGCTCAAAGACTCCAAACAAAAAGGCCGTACTCCCCCAACGGATTCACCTAAGGACCGGATACCCCCACATCTTGGCAAAAGAAAAGAGTGTGGAAACAAAGAGAATGGAAAGGCTAATGACAGAGGAATTGGGGTGACCTGCTTTGTGCTTGTTAATTGTGTATGTGTTGTTTGGTTGTGTGGTATCTGTTGGTGCATGTGGTTGCGCGTTATCTGTTGTATATTTTGTGTGGTGTGTTGTGTGCTGTTGCATGTCAACTGTTGTAAGCGTTGTGTGTTGTTGTTGTTGCTGCTGCTGCTGTTGCCGTTGTTGTTGTTGTTGCTGTTGTTGTTGTTGTCGTCGTGTGTCGTGTGTCGTGTGCCGTGTGCCGTGCGCAGTGTGCCGTGTGTCGTGGTGGTGGTTGTGGTTGTGGTTGTGGTTGTGGTTGTGGTAGTTGTTGTTGTTGTTGTTGTTGGTTGTTGTTGTTGTTGTTGCTGCTGTTGTTGTTTTGCTGTTGTGTGTGTATGCGTGGCTGTGTGCGTGTTGTGTTGCTGGGGTGCGTGGTGTGTAGTACAGTATGCGTTGTGTTTTCTGTTGCGTTGTGTGGTGTGTGATGTAGGGGTGTGTGTGTTGTGGTGTAGAGTGCTCGTTGTGTGAAGTGGTGTGGGTTGTGTGGAATCATGTATTAATATCTACTATACATTGGCGCGGCAAGTTGTCAGTATCCGCAAGTGAAAAGATTTTTCTCTCTACGCCGAGTTGACGGATTGTCCGCGGGTTAGCAGTGAAACATGGGCGGAAGAGAAAAAAGACAGATCGGATTTAGTTAGAATTAGTCGCTGTCAGCGTTGTTGCCTTTTTATTTCTATCCCAGTCATCGTCGTCAAGAGAATCGAGTTGAATGCAGCCGCAAACGCTGTGAATAGCGAACTCAAAATAGGACATCCATTCTCTCGTCTCCGGTAAGTCTGCTGGATCTCTGATCCAAAGCCTTCGGCACCGCTGTGTGGGCGATGCGGTTCCTGTGCTTCGACGCAAAAGTTCAAAACGACAAGCTTCTGATTTCTTGTGTCTCATACTTTTGAATGTTTCTGAAACGCGTGAGCACTGCGCGCTCCTTGTTGGACAGGAACCGGTTGGGTTGATAAGACCCGGGGCCCTTAAAGCAAAATAGCTTGCAGATTTTGTCTGATTGGTTCAGCGCATGAGTTTATGCCGCTGAGGCACAAATTGACGCCGTCCAGGTTGCCAAGCTTGGCGGCCGTGTGCAGATTTTGTTTGATTGGTTAAGGGCACGAGTTTATGCCGCTGAGGCACCAAACGTTTCCAGACGACGTCCAGGTTGCCAAGCTTGGCTGCCGCCGGCCGAAGTTTGGCTCTAATTTCCAAAATCAGTGGCCTCCAACCACTAAGTGCTCAGCCTCGGTGCCAAACATCTCTGTGAGCTCCTGCCATTCATGACCTACCCAATCTGTCATGTTCCAGGTATGACACGAAGCCTCGCCTCCAAACTCCACATGTCGTCGTCCGATACGTCGCACCAGGACAAAGCCATTGCGACGGAAAATAGCCCAAAGACAGAAGACGTGTAACGGAAAGGAACAATTGTCGGAGATAATGCAAATGTGTTGCGGTGCTAGTGGTGTGCCTCTGTGGACATGTGTGTGTGTGTGTGTGTGGAATAATGTGGAATGTATGTGTGTGATGCGTGCCGTGGGCGTGCATGTGGTTGAGTCACTTAGCTCAAGCATAAACTTCGAGTGATCCCCACCACAACATTTCAATCCGACAAAATTTTCGGCATGTGTTGCAACAATTTTTCTGGCATATCTTCTGACCTTCTTTCTGGTGCTCTAACTGGCATATCTTCTGACTCGCGAACACTGCTGTCGGGAGCTGGCGGCTGAGGAGGTGAGGAGGAGGAGGGTGCGGAGGAGGAGAAGACGCGAGGCAGCTGACATAAAACTTTAACAGCCCTCACCTGACAGGTGGGGAAAAAAGGCCCCCAAGTAAGCAATGCCAAAAAACGAGCCAATGACAAGACTTCTTCGCAAGATAACGTGAAAAAGAAAAGAGGAATATGCTGCAGATCAAAACAACAAGAACAGCGCCATCCACAACTGGAGGCGCCTCTACCGTGGGTGGGTTTCTCCAACCTGGCCTCTGCGACCTCCGCGGCTCTACCTTTGTGGGGTCTGACCAACCAACATCCAAGGCCACTTGACGATGGATTCCTGCGAGGTTGCCCAACGCGTGCCCATGACGGATGAGGTTCCACAGGATGGTTGTGGCAGCCATCCAGCTACAAGTGCCGAAGCGACAAGCGCTACAAGAACAAACCTGAGTCTGCCAAACAGTGGGAAAAATTGGAGCCGTCAGTGGATACTCAAATGGGGACATCTTCAATAAACTGCGTCCGACCCGCTTTGCTTGACAGCTCCGCCGCGACTCCCGCAAGCACCTCACCATCATGGTGCACATTGTTCAGCAACACCTTCGGTCTTGCCACCCAACACGGCCAGGCTCGTGATATCCGGCAAAGGTACTCCGACTTCGATTGCCTTTTTTCACAAAACAACGAAAACCTGCGGTTGAAACTGTTCTCTCCACTGGAGCCCGATCTGGAAAAGTGCTTGCGAAGTACTCTTTTCCTTTTTCTATTTTCGTCTTGGCGTGTGTCTTCTCTGATCTTGACGTCACCGGCCATTACCCTGAAAAATGCACGCCACAAAACAATTGGCAGAGAGTGTTTTTTTTCAAAAGCCGCCTGAACCAAGGACACAAGTTGGTCTCAGGCGGCAATTCTTTTCTTGCATTCGGCCTTGGGGTCGCGAACCCCAGATCTCACCCCATCACAACCAACAGCCCAATCTAGAAAAAGTACGTTTAACATCGTTTTAAGTACTTTTGAGTTCTCATTTGTGTTTGCGGCCGATCATTCTAAACACGTGTCACACGGCATTGGAATCTGTTCTGCGTTTTTCTGAAGGACGGGCACGTGCCAAAGAACCTCTTCTATTTTTGTGCTTGGCGTGTCATCTTCTTGCTTCTTAAGTCTCCGGGCGCAACTTTGAAGAAAACGAGTTGCAACATGTTGCAACATTTCGGGTAGAGTTTTGTTTATTCAAACACCGCCTGAACCAAGACACAGGTTGGTCTCAGGCGGTAATCTCCTTTTCTTTTGTTGCGCGGCGCTAAAAACGTCACCACGTCGACAACCACAACCACACGGCCAAAGAAGAACATGTACTTTTCTGCTAGCTTGTGTGTTCTCATCTTAGTTTTGATACTGCACCTTGAAAATCTGTTCTGATGTTTCTTGTGATTCACTGTGCAGGTGTGTGCCTCTCAAAGATTTCTAATTTAGTTCCGGCTCAGTATCGGCTCAATATATCTCCTGTTTCCAATGTCTCCGGCGAACACTTTCCAATAAAGGCCGCCAACAAAACCGGGCAGAGTTGCGTTTATTGGAACAGCCCCTCAGGTGGCAAACTCTTTTTCTTTCAATGTGGGACTGTGGGACGCTATAATGTCACCACATCGACAATCGCAACCACACGTCCCAAGGCTCTCTCTCTCTCTCTCTCTCCCCCCTCGCATCGCCTGGAAGTGGATCCAGGACTGTAGTTTCTTGAAACTATACTTGACCACCATAGGCAAAGTGTGCAGTTGTGGCAATCCCCTGGACGTCCCAAAACATGTTTAAAATGTTTTAAAATGGATCAAGGATGATCAAGGTAGAAAATAGCATCTTGGTCCACACATGTGTACAAAATGACCAAGGCCCCTACAAAGCGGCCTTGACAGATTGGAGGGCTTTGTTTCGCTTTCTTCTGGAATCAACATGCGACCTGAAATATCGTGCTTGGACTTTGAGGGACGATCGGACTACGAACCCATGGACGGTCGGTTTGGTGAGTGTCGATCCGGAAAAGAGGGCCTGTTCCCCGGCGAAAAAGAGGTCATGGTCGTATGGATTCTTTGGGGGTCGAATGAAGACCCCAAAAGCTGCCCTGCATCTCATCGGCCTCTCTCCCTCATCATGGGTCTCCCTCTCCCTCGCTGGCTCGTGCTCGAAAACCGGCGCGCGACGAACTCGCACACCAGTCGCGTCGCGCATCTCGTCGCCCAAGAGGCATTTCTGGCGCATCTCGTTGACCCGCAGCACCGCAAATTCACATGCTTCACTGGCCGACAAGAAGTTCTCGGGCAATGGGCACCTGAGATGCAGTCGAAGGTACCAGGTCTAGTTCAGAACATCGGATGATGATGCAGTCGAACATCTCCTGACTCCCTTTGGGGTCTTCACCGGTTCCCCCTGTTCGCCTTTCCGAACTCGGATCGCAGAACATGCACCACCTGGTTAAGCGAGCTGGTTTTGCAGTCTCAAGTCATAGCAAAACAATCCCTGACGATCCATGACCACAAATAGGTCACAAATAGAAATGATCTCAGGATATGCATACGTTTCGATCCTCAGGGAATGGTTCTGATTCCGGATTCCACCCGCCACATCCGCCCGGAATCCAGACATTCCTCCGGCGATGCTGAGAGAGTAAACTGGCTGTGAACCAGGGGTTTCTGCCCCGTCCATGGAACACGTTGCGCCAGGGCACCATTGCCCCTTGTGGCAGTGGGATGTCACTTGCACCTGAGCAACGCGTTGGCTCAGCCGGATACAATCTGCCATGCTACCAAGCTTGGGAAACCCTTCGTTCTTCCTGGCGTTGACACCCGTTTCATTTTAGCATCCTGCCGAAACAAAATTGTTTTATACAAACGAATTTGGATGGCAATGATCATGAGAGTGTTGACCCTGAAAAAGGAAAGCTAGCCATTTTGTGTCCAAATCGAAGAAGTGTTCCCTCTACAAATTGCTTAGCATCTTTGTCGGAACAACTACCCCTTGGCAAACGCTTTATCTCCAAGTATCCAACAACACTTTAGGCCTCAAATCCTCTCCAAAGGCTGCAAAGGCTTCTTCTTTCCCAAACACTCCGATCCATATATGGCCTATTTACCTACATTCACCCCTGAAACCACCCCAATGTATGCACATATTCCATATTATGGAGTATCTGGGTATACTTATGCAATGCATTCTTCCTCCTCCAAAAGAAGCTCTTTTGAACGACGTAGTGGCGACGTCCGCATCGCTGGGACCGAACCGAAGCACCGGCCCGAAGCAAGTTGGTTCGGTGGCCGGTGGTCGCGAAGCAATTGGTGAGTTGCTTGAGAATGGGCAGGTCAGAATTGGAACCGAATTCTGAGAATGGTCGAACTGGGGGCCATTTGGGACATCAGGATGGTTCTTTTGTATGGTGTGGTGTGGCTCATGTTACAGGGACAGCGTTGAGGGATACCCATGAAATGCAAACGACAAACAAGACCATCGATAGGGGCCCCGGGGCTATTGTCTTTCGATGATGTCCATTCATACGATTGATAGCTAAATTAGAAGAATAGCACGCTTGTAGCAATGGAGCTTGTACCAAAGGAGCCGTAGCGGCCCCGGAGTAGAAGTCAGTCCGATTCAGTTTCCCATCCAAAACGTGGCAGTTCACACTGTTTGCTCAGAAAAAACCTACCAACTCAAGGCCTATCAGTGCGACGTTCATTTCCTCTTAGTCGTCACCCTTGGCCCTTCGTTCGACCCTGATAGGTTGACCTCCGTCGTTCGTTCGTCGGTCCCTCCGGTGCCATGGTGACCCACACGGACGGTGTCGAGCGTCCACACGGCACCACGGTGGTGCCTATTGATGGATCCTCTAGAAGATCACCCGAAGCCAACCATGCACATACAAAAAACGCAAAAAAAAGGACATAACTAACAGCAGTTTCATCATGTTTCATGGAGTTGGGAGCTCTCTTATCACATCCACTCACTGACGGGGACTCCAAACCCACGGTACCGACGGTGCACGTACCGACGGTACACCACCGCACCCATGGGTGAACCCCCCAGGTCTCCGGCAGGTTCAAAGTTCAAATCGTCTCCTTGGTGTTTCCGACCGACGGGACCGGCGGGATCGGAGTAGACCAACAGAACGACGACCCATGCAAGGTGTTCATAGCTGGATCTTCCTGCAAGTATTTCTATCTATTTCTGCCGAACTTGGCTATATAGTTGTAGATGAAAGGGCAGAGATTTTGCACCCTTGGAAGATCTATCTAGTATAGCTAAGGCTATGACCATCTATGACCTATGGAAAACACCATCTAAGCATCCAAAAGCCACCGTACCCAAAGGCGCAGCGAACTTGGCGCCAGAATATGCATCATCATGGGTGTTCAGACCTTCCAGGGTCCCCGTCCTTTTGCTTGATCCTCAAACCCTAGGGATCAAAGTACCTTCTCAGAAGGCGCCTGGACCCTCCAAACCCACCCCAAACACCTTCTGAGAAGGTTCGACTGGATCCCTAGGGAAATATCTCCTCAGAATCGGTCTACGAACCTTTTCGGGAAGCCTCCCAAGCCGCTCCGTGAGGGCACCGTCCGCGAGGGTCCGGAGCCTTTCAGCTGCCCGAAGCTCCGAAGTTGAGCTGTCCCCCAGTTTTGGACCTTTGACCCATTTTTGTTCCTGGACCCTAGTGTCTGCGGGTTCTCACCAGTATAAGGTCCAAAGACTTCCTTTTCGGAAGGACGCACGGAGGTGAGGATGAACGAAACCAGAGGCGATGGTCGAACGAAACGAAGGCGCCGACAGCAGGACGACACGGATGGCCCTGGACGCTCTACGAGCTGAGGTGAATCATGTCTTTGGAGCCAAGTTCACTTCAAAGAAGTCCACTGTTAAGTATAATAACCCATAACATCCCAGAACTATCCATAACTATAGGATACCGGTTTTGAATGGTTTTGAGGGACCCGGAAGGAAAGGCCGAACGCGCTCCTCACGCCTCCGTCCGACGCTCCGCGCCGGGTCTCCATGGACGGAAGCCGCCAGGGCCGCCAGGCGGACCGCGGCGGTCGCGAAGGCCATGGCTGGAGGGGACTGGTCTTGGACCGTGGACCCGTTTTCTGCTTTTTTGGGGGGTGGAGCAGGGGAGAGGATGTGGGGGCTGATTTTCGAAGCATTTTTTTGGGGGGGGAGGGTTGTGATTTGGTGGAGAACATGGTCGAGTGGACCCTGGACTGAGGCGACATATGCAGTTTCGTCCTTTGCTTGAAAGGGTCCCAAAAAAGCTGACCTGAGCCGAAGTAGAAACCTAGCAATAGCCTTCCGCTATGTACCCTATAGGTGGTGCTTTTGATTCATAATGTGGTGCTATCTTGCCGGCTTGGATAATGTGGTGCTATTGATTCATATACCCGTTCGCCGCCCAAAAGCCTTCCGTTCAACCATGTTTGGGAATGAGCTGCTCTTAGTATACAACAATGATTGGTTCCGGATTCATGCCATTTTTCATCGCTGGTGTTTGGAATCCTAGGCCCTACAAGTGAGCTTGACCTCATGAAATACTGAAGATGGTCATACAAAACCAATACTGCTGGATGCAAACGACCATGTGTTTTACTGGGTCAGACTGGACTTGTAGGGTAGGGTTGATGTGTCTTTTTGGGAGGCAGGCTGATAGGCCATGATAGGCCGATAGGCCTGGAATGCTTAGACCGCGGTGGCAACCATGCCGTAGTGCCTGTATATATTTGGGCCTCGCAACAGCTCGGCGTGCTGAGCTCGGGAGACACAATGTGCTTTTCGCCTTTTCACCATGGCAAGATGGATCGGCAAGCAGGTGCTTGGTGCTTCATCAAGGAGTGCCATGTCATTACATTTTCACAGTGGGTGGTGATTTCTGATATTTCTGGAGGACAAGTGACGGTCGCTGAAGATTCTCGAAGAGGATGACGGTACTTTTGGGCTATGACGGTCATGAGTCGTCGCATGACATGACGGTCATAACATGAGTTTTGAGGCGGCATACTTACTCTGGTTATGCTACAAAACAAACTTCCTGTGATCTACAGTCAATCGTCATGATCTGTCAGTGCGAAAAAGGAGGGCAGTCAACTGTCACTACAGAACCCTTCCAAGATCCAGGACCCCGCCTGGGAAGCTGCTCTTCGGTTTTGGTGAACTGCGTCATCGGTGTCACTACCTATACCTCCACGGTGGATTGCGTGGAACTGCAGTTGCTGGCATGGGGATACACCGCCTTCAGTGTGAATCTATCAGTCGACCGCTAGTCCAAAAACCAAGCAACCTTTCTGGTCTCAAAACCAGATGCAAACCGACCCCCCTCGCCATGCAATTGGCACATTCCCTAGGCATCCAGTCATACCGAACTTCAGGTACGGTGATGTGTTGTCTCCACTGTTATATAGGTGCCATTGTCAGGTCCAGTCGTACCGAACCTGAGGTTCGGTACGAAAACGGATCCCTAGGGATTCCTCTTGTTGGAAGCTGTGATCAGGACCGAACCACCCACTCCACACGCCACTTTTTGGCGCTGCAGAAGGCCCAGCAGCAGTGCGCCTCGAGGGGTGCGGCGAAGGGGGTGTCGAAGGTGAGCGGTCACAGAGCCTGGGAAGTTCTACCACTTTTGGGGTGTGTTTTGTGTATGTTTCTTGGGGAGTTGTTTGTTTGGGCCGGGGTCACCCTGTTTTAGTACCCACTCATAACCTCCTCAGTTGTTGGTGCACATGAAATTAACACTTCATATTATGCCCTGAAACTAGAATAAGGTAAGGAGCAGGCCTACTGGTTCCTATACCAGCTACTTCCAAGTGTCTTTCTTTTGGCCCATCCTCCCATCACCTCTCCAATCTAGATCTGTCTAAGAGTGCTGTTAAAAAACCAAGTGCTAGAATCCCTATAATCTCTAGACTAAGTATATCATCAAAATCCAGTGTACAGTATATACGATGCGGATTGTCTGATGTGTTTCAAGGAGTGCTGGCCTCTTGTGGACACCCCCCCCAAACCTTTTGAACAATAATACCTTGTTGATCCTTATTGCTTCTTCATCAGCGAATTCACTCCGTGAACCCATTTTCAAAACATCTGTGCACGCTCCCTGACATCATCATTACGGTTACGTGGATGGCATGGGAATACCAAGATGACGAGGTCAGACGAATACCAAATGGGTGGTTTTCAACTTCCAGGATGATGTCACACGATTTTTTGGTTGCTGACCCATGTTGACCCTATAACAACCAGTCCTTCTACCCATTGTCCAAGGTATTTTGAGACTCCATGTAGGTATCTATACCCAGAAGAATGGGCTCTGGCCATGGAAGGCCCATTTCCATCTTGTTCCACTTGCGCCTCCCTCCTCAAGCCAAAGGGTGTTTGTGACATGTGGGCTGTGCATTCGAACTCCGGGAGAGCCCTCGTTGCATCTCTGCCCCCCTGGCGCTAAGGGTCGATCGGTTTGGCCGAAAACGACCATGCAGAACATGGGAACGGGAACGTGTAGCGCTACACATCCAGGTCGTGAAGCAGCTGGTTGGTTCGGGATGACCCGATATAGAGGAATCTGTTCAACTTGACCCATGGGGTAAAAGATCCACACCCAAATGATTACAGCACACCCTTTCAATGGAGAATCCTCAGATTTGTCATGCCCAGATGTTCATGGACCAACCTGCTACATGTTGGTTCGGTCCATTTCACCCTCAAAACAGGTCAACACCCGGACCGCGAACGGGCTGGGTCCTTTCTGAGCCGAACTGGGACAATTGGATCCCTTTTCCACCTACCCCACTTAATCACACTGGCCCGCCCGCCCGCCCCGGTGCCCGCGCCAGCTGAAAGGACCATGCGGTCCGAGCTGGCTGGCCTCTGAGGGCGAAGGAGCGGCGGAATGGATGGCTGTGGGTTGAGCTCACCTGTTGAGCTCCCTGCAATACTACCTGGATCGAATCCGACCTCAGGTCACATGGGTACCAAACTCGTTTCTTTGTTTTGTTTAAATGGGGTCATGTCCCATTCTCTAGAGTACTTTGGAGGGTCCAGATAGTAATCTGCTCTGTTAAGGGTTTGCCGGTGCCATGACCCACAACTCCAAATGCTTCCCACCATTGATTTATATAATGTCTTTTTAGCCAAACGTTTTTACAAGGATTTTAGAGTATACCAAGTATACCCGGCTCCAAACAGCCCGACTGGTCCCTCCAAACCAGGGATTTGAGACCCCAGACTCCTCCAAAAGAGAGACCGATCCTTCTGGGTGCAACAAATGAGAGTTTTGAGGGCCGGGACCCCTGCGAAGGTGGGTCCGACCCCTGCCATAGTGAGCCCATACGTATTCTTAGGGTAAAGAATATGTAAGGAATTTAGACTATACAACACGCAGGTCCACCGAACTCTTCTGGGGTCTAGCTGCATGATGCACATGGGCCGAAGAGAACCAGGTGATCTTCGAAGCCACCTCCACCGGTCAAACACGCCCCACTCGGACTGCCGACGGAGCCTTCCTCGGTCAACCACTGAAGGAGCTCCCAGCGGCGCTTGCCCTGACGCCGGAAACAGCACCCGCCGCCGGGGAGCAGCAAACCCCAAAGGGGGGGGGGCGCTGCGTGGAACCTGGATTTGGTACCTGCGAAAGAGGTGTTTTTTTTGTGTTAATCTTTCGGAAAGATTGGTACAACATGGTACAACACAAACGCTCCAGTTCACAACCCGACCGGTCCCTCAAAAAGCACAAGATTTGGGTCCGGACCCCCAAGTTTTTGAAGGACTCTTCCGCGTCCGTGTCCGGTTTGACTGAACAGATGGGGTCCATGAAGTACCTGCTTCATCGGGTGTCCCCTCATCTTAGAACCCACGTACGGTGGGAGCCCCGCTACGTACTACAGTGAGTCGTGTGGACGGCGGCAGGGTGAAACACCAGCGTAGCGAGGGCGCAGCATACTTAGAACATGTGAATCTGAACCCTTTATAGATCCTCTGAGGGTGCCACATCTATTTTGGGGGGCGCGATTTGATAGAAGAGGTTCGGTATAGATCCAGGTATAAGACAAAACAAGTTCAACAAACCAAAAGCAACGGCTGTGGATGCCTTCAACACATGTTTGGTCTGCGAACGAAAGTCCCGGAAGCTTCGTCAGCCGAGCAATTGGAATGTGCCGGAACTTGGTGCCGACAAGTCAAGGACCACAGCTACCTCTTCCTGGAAACCATGTGCCATCTCCAATCATCTTGATGGTGATTTCCTTAAAGCCTGTCCCACATCCTCCGAAGGTATTTAGACAGTTAAAGTTAGACTGTTAGACTCCAAAAGCCTACCCCAACCGTGCCATGGCCAGCCCTAGGGTTTCTGCTCCATGTCCCAAGAAGTCGGGCCCCGACGTGCACCATGAAGCATCGTGGTCTTTGCCAACGGATTTTGGAGATGCAAATTCTCATGGAACCACCGCTCAGTGGGTGCCCCACCTGAATCTTCTGGAGAGGTCTGGGGTTTCTCAATCCGTACCCAGGAACAACAAACAGGTTTCTCATGCAACTTAGACCATCTGTTGCGAAGGAAAACCAAGTCTTTGATGGTTTGCAGGGCCACATGTGAGTATGTCTTGCTCGGTTCCGCGTCGAACTCGGCCCGTCTGACCGACGCCACGACCGACGCCGAGGCCGCGGCCTTGACGATGTCCAAGGCATTTCGGCCGGTACCTGACGGTCGAAAACTGCGACGACGGCGGGCTAGATGAGTCAAGTTAGGCATGTCTGTTGAGGGACAAGTTCTGAAAAAGAAACAACATGTAATTATGGTTAAAGGGCTAGTGGCTGTGTCAAACTCCAGATCAGCAAGGGCAATGTCGAACAATGTGCTCATGAGACTCCAATGATCACATGGTTTGCCCAAAACTGCTATTGCTGCAAACCAGGACTTGGTCTTTACTTGAGTCGAGTCCACTGACTGACGGGTGGTCGGACCGTCTGCGGAATAGTCATGGAATGGAATCTGCAATGTCTACTGGTGGAATTGATGAGTCAATCTGACTCAGTGACACTGACATGAACCAATGAGGATCTATCACAGGTCAGGTTCATTTCGGTGTTTATTCGTGATGAATCATGACTTGAGGTATTGAATACGCCTACTAACTACACGTTCGATATACCGAATCAAGGGACAAAGCGGGGCAATGTAGTGACGCAATCCAGTTTGGGAATGTCTGACAAACTGCGCGGAAATTCATCATCTTCCTGCTCCTCAGCCACTTCAATATCAAAACCACCGTCATCACACATGAGCTTGTGCAGATTGTTGAACTCTTCCTCATTAGCGACCATCGAACAGTACGATGCAGTTTCTACAACTCGTTGTTTGATGTTGTTTGTTCGTAGCCCCCTTGAAAGGGCCGTGCTGGCAGTTGGTGATTGTGCTGGCCAGCAGTGAAACGTGCTGTAGTCTGGTTCGGCGTAGAGCGTTCTTGCAAGTGTTCCATGAAGCGTGACAAGACTCCTGGCTGACCTACCGCAGCCCACCATGTTCATGGCACAAAACGTACATCAGTTTGAATGGTACGCGTTCCTCATCCGCTGCCTCAGGTACAGTCGGCACTCAGGCAACATTGGATGCCCACAGGCCGGCCACGGTTTTATTTATATAGCAGGAGCGACGGTGCCAAGCGGTGGGCCAAAAAAACAGTCAGTCAGTCACTGTCAGACACACTGCTCAGACAATCCGAACTATAAATCACATAGTTTGGCACTTCGTCATTTGTTCAACAGTGTTGATTTGCAGTGGGTTTTGTTGATGGCAGCTAGATGGGCAAAGCAGTCCTCAAGATCCAGTTTAGTGTTCCACGCACCCCCGTTCAAATCACGGGCTGCGGCTAGCAGCTCTGGACTCTCATGATTCCAATCGCACTGACAGCAAAACACGTACAGTTCCCTGGCCAATTACATTTGGTTTCAGCACGCTTCACTGAGGCGAGCCTCGATTTCGGTAGCCACATTGACGGGAACTTTCTCCTGGTGGACTGTGAGTTGCTCGGCAAGCAACACAGCATCCCACACCTTTCGTTGAAAGGAGACAGACAGAGACCAGAGTACAGAGTACAGAGTACAGAGTACAAAGACAGAGACAAACAGACAACATATAATGCCAACACCGGATAAATCAACCCGTGCCACCCCCGTGGTGGGGAACTTTTAGACCAAGCTTCATTACTTGTAGTGATAGTGCCGGATGGCATGAGCATGCGGGTGGTGCCGATGTCTCAATATGTTAACAACCACTCCAGTTTATCTGGAGCTGATGCTGCGTACAACATTTTGCCAACCGTTAATTTTCTTCCTTCAAGCTTCCGCCCCAATTCAGAGAAATAGGCAGAAGACAGCGCAGCCAACTCTTCGATGAATTGTATCCGTGTTGGCCACACTAGCAGCTCCTCAATTGAGGCCAAGACACGTGAAGCTCGTGCTCCTGACATTTTGCCGGTAACTTAGGACCTGGGAGCGTAAACCGTAAGCCTTCCTCTTGCGCAGACAGTCTCCTCGCGTCTTTGCCTGCAAACATTGGACCCCACATGTCGCTACCAAGCCTTGGGCCACGCCCTTGAAACTTATGCAAAAATTGTCTGAGTAGCATAGAGCCCTGTGTCTTCCGACTTGCAGAGCTTTCTTCATAGCGCATTGCTATGTGAGTAGCATCAAGCGAATTCCCCTGCAGGCTAGGCAAAACTTTTCGCAGCTCTTCAACAAGCATGGCGGTTGGCGCGTCCACAGCGAGATGCTTCACTTTATGTAGGGCAGAGCTGTGGTGATACAAGTTGCAATTTCTTCTGGACCTTCTCCAGAAGCAGGTAGTAGACCGACGACAGCGCCTGTTCAGCCTTTGGTTGAGATGACCTTGCGAATGCATCTGCGACATGAAATAGAATTTGCAGCTGCACTGCTGCTGGATCGTTGAACTTTCCTTAGCCTAACACACTAAAGCAAACTCGAAAAGTACCAACAACTGACAGGTATGAGTACTCATCTCTTCCGGTAGCACGCTGCTCGACGCTTCAAGGAATTTCTTTTGTAGCCGGAGCACTGAGACTCAGAATATTTTCTACCATTGGCCACCAGCTGCTGGTATGTGTTGGAAGCAGATTAGCCAGACAGTTTTCTCCTGTCACTGCGCGCATCATGAAACGCGGCCAAGTTGTTTTCACCTGAGACTGGTTAGCTGTCTTGGTATAGTACATGACAGTAAGAAATCTGAACCTACCAGTGCTAAAGAAAAAAGAAAGACCCATCGTACTTTTTTGCTACCGAGAAACCTTTGCATGGTTGACAACCTGGAAGAGAACCTCTGCAAAAGCATGTGTCATCCACAGATTCCCAACACGTCTGGCAAGTATCTGTTTCTCCACAGCGCGCTGGTGGACAAAGCGCGGACCAGAAGCATCCAGCAAAAGACGAATGTGTTTGTCAACCTTGTTGGACGTTGTAGCAAGAGCCGGTGTAACTGTTTGCCTCAATAGCGCGGAAGTTCTCCAGAGGTATGCTCAAAAAACTTCCTTGCTGCAGCATGTCTTCATCGTGAAACGCCAGAATCATCCGCACCTCCTTGGTGCCAGAGCAACAAAATTGGTTCTTTAAAGTATGATACTTCTGTAAGTGCGTCACCACACGGGAGCTTCGTTCAAAAGATCGAAACGGGCATGCAGGGGACAACTTTGCCCCCACTGCTGCGTAGCTTCCCCGCCTTTGCGAGCTCAATGTAGCCTATTATCTCTGTTCTACAGCATACAGTAGGCCCATCTCTACCGTGACGCAGCCATCACCATCAAGCCATTGTAATTCATGAGAAGCTCCTGTATCGTTGTCATCTTCGTCAGTATCAGATCGCGAGTTTGATCCATGTTTTCTTCTTCATCCTCGATGGGCGTTCCTTCCTTTGCAAAAGGAGGCGCAGCCATGGCTCCCTCCAACACAATCTGCTTCAGATTCATTGGCTTCTGCAGCCGTCCAGCAATGCCTTCGCCACTACAAAACTTATTGTAGAGGTCCTCCCGCATCTTAACTCAGCGCGGAGAACATATCTTGTAGCCATCTATTTTCTGATACTGTTACATTGGACTATACAAATCTTTGAACATTGAACTTAAAACAATACATACTATTTTAGCTTGAGCTGCGGTTTGTGCCGGGCGTTTCTTGTCCAGTAAGAATTATGCAGCAGCCATTCTGACTCTTGATCTGCTTCCGCATTTCTTCGTCATGATACCAAAAAATTGGGATCAAACGCTGCAAAATGTCCGTACATTGCTTGCAGATGAGTCGAGTAGAGAGACTGACCGACTCCTCCTCGAGGCAGTCCTATATGAACAACCGGACAACATTGAGGCCCCGCTTAGCAAGAGCTTGTGCCGCTTGACAGCATTCAAAAAACACACGCATTTCCCCAGAACGTTTGGCTGTAATTCTTTTTTGTAGCCTTCGCACCATCGACTGGCACTGTTTCTTTGATGCTGTGAGGTATCCGCAGGTAGCAATTAGCCAGTGTGTCTCGATCAACTTGATGAGCTGGCAGCAGAATGTCATCATAGAGAACAGCGCAGTCTTCGTAGCAGCAGGACGGCTCGATGACCTTTGGCATGTCACACCACCCTGACATGTAATGCAAAAGCTTATCTTGCGTGAGCTCGAAAGACGGCTGCTTCTTGTTCTGAAGGATAGTTTTCGCAGTGGCTGATGTCCACGGTGCACCCTCTTCCAGCGCAACATCTTCTCCTCCATCTTGACCTCCTTGTTTCCCTCCTCGCCTTGGAGGGTCACCTCGATAAGTCAAACATGCCTCAACACAGGCAATCAGAAATGCCCTTTCATCCGTTCCAACATCTAGCCACAAAGTATCAGCGCCCAGTAGGCCTAGCATCGTCCTTCCCGTTTGTCGTGCACATTGACGGAACAACCCTTCCAAATGCAACAAGGCAGGCGTGCGTCAATGCTGCGCAGCTCCCATTAGAAGTTTCGGCAGCCTGCCCAGATTCAAGAATGGAGTGCACTCCAGCGTTGTCACCTGCCCTTATAGCGCTGAATAGTTAGTTGATTCGATAGATCCTTTTGCAGGGGTTTGAACAGGACATCAGCAACTGGCAGATAGCCGAGCGATCTCTAGATCTGCAAAAAAGGCTTAAAAACAGATCACCAGTAAATAAAGCTGCTTGTGTTCAAGTGGCACGAGATGCCCCAGCTCAGTCTCCGCTGCAAAATCGATGGCGCCTGCAAGTTTCTCATCATCTGCCCAGATGCACCACTCCGTTCTGTATGCAAGAAGAGGTGGCAAGCTCCTGAGGAAATTCGCGAAAAGAGTCATCTCAAAACAGTATCCCTCAATTGCGCCACCATTGAGCACGCATTCGCATTGCTTGTGCATCCAGGATCCAGCGGCTGAGCTTTCCTGAGCTTGCGCCTTCACTTCATCTTTGGTCATAGTGAGCTCTTGTAGTCTGGCAGCAGTTTCTCGGTCACAGCGTGTGAGTGGCATGAGACAAGGGTGGATCAGAAGATCAGTTTCACCATGGACCAGAAGATATTGAATACTAGAAAAAGGACATAAACAAGAAAATACATAAAACCAACTATATTGTTTTTCAGAACAGGCTACCGCCAGCGTGTGCAAAACAATCACAAACAACAGCTGTGAGCATCTGTGAGCATCTGCTTACAATCAATACAATGCACAAAAACAAGAAAATCCAACAGAACGGAACTTCGAAAACCTTGAGAAAACAAAGAAGAACCCAAACTGGACCCCATGAAGCATCCCAAGACTTCAGACATAGGGTGTGCAGTTTTGTTCCTTTTTTATCGCGAGGTTTTGTTCATGTTCACGCTTGCAAAAGCATGAGCAAATTCTGTGGCCATGGGGTCTGCATTTTTTGTTTTCCCTCAAAAAACATGCAGACCCCATTGGGGCTCTCTCCTGTCTGACTCTCTGGCCATGGGGTCTGCAACTTTTCTTGATTGTTTTTGATAGCTTTTTGCATACCGGTTCTGTCTCTTATTTTTCATTCAATTCTTATGAAACTCTAATTCGGTTCTAACCGCGTTCTAAGTAAAAAAAGTCTAGTTCAACTATACCTTATTGGAAGTTGGTTTAGGTTTGAATTCAAATAGGTTTTCATCTATTTATAGTTGACTGAAATTGAATAACTTTTTCAAGCGTTTTACAATTTTACAATATTTCTTTCTTTTTAAAAAAAAGTTGAACTGAATTCATAAGTAGACCTCTTAATACCCATGTATTCTACTTAAATCTAATTAATTCGCATTTAAGTCCTCCTTAATTCTAAACTTGAAGTTGAAATTCAAATTTGAGCCTGGTTGAATTCTATTTTAATTCTACTTTGAGTTTTTGGTTTACTTCTACTCTAAATTCTAAGTCGATTGAGTCTGATTGATTTTTTTAATCTAAATTGCATTTCAATCTCCAATTTGATTTTAATTCCAGCTAAATTCAAGTCCAATGAGTTCAATTCTAATTTAAAATGAAAAGTTCAAGCTTAGTTTAATTTCAACTGAATTCTAACTTGTCTAATTTACTTGTACTTTTTCTCGAATTTTGTTCCAATTATTTCCAGTTTAATGTAATTTTACTTTCGTTCTTGTTTCATTGTATTTGTAATTGAGTAGCTAGTTTAAATTTTATGTAATACAAACTTAATTGATTTAGAATTGTAGTTTAATTCCTTTTTGGATTTTCAGTCTACTGTTGAGTAATTTTACTTTGATTCGATTCTAGTTCAGTGAAAATTTAGCCTAAACCAATGCAAACGGAATTCTAAATCAACTCTGATTTCATTCTAGAAAGCGGGTGTTGCTGGGGGCGTGATTTTAAGAACACAAATGTTAAGAAATTTACATATATTATATGCAAAGCTTTCTTTTGAAAAGCAACATGCGCTCTCTAGTGGTCACTTAATCCTCTGTGCGCATAACCCAAAATATAATGTTGACATAGGAGTACGTAACCATCCCCTATTAACCAATCCCAGCTCGACTCCCCCAATACTAAGCTAATTTAAAACATGGATTTCCACCTTGGCATCACCCTGATATTCTTTCTCTACCAGGAACCTCCCCCTATGAATCAATCCCAGCTCCACCAGAAAAAATATCAAGTGTTTAACATTTAGTAATTATTAATGTTCTTTTTTGGTATTCAGTATCTTCTGGTCCATGGTGAAACTGATCTTCTGATCCACCGTTGTCTCATGCCATCTCTTTGAGAGATGGCAGATAGCATCCTGATCCACCCTTTTCCCATGCTGATCCTGTCATCCATCAATCATTCTGATCATTCTGCTTGCTCTTCTCATCCTTCCCAGCAGCAATCTGTGCAGCCAATGTATACTCATATGGGATCTTCCTGCCCAGCCTCTTCCCTCCTTCCTCATCCAATAGGCTGTGTATTTCCATACATTGCAGTCCATGCACCCACTGGAATACCTGCACTTGCTGCATACCCCAACCCACCCAGCTAAATCTTGGCTTTGGCTTTCAAATAGGCTGATGGAAGCTCATCCACCCTCAAAGCACCCCCCTCATTCACCAATTTCCAAGCATCCTCCTGTATCTTGGTCATCTTCTTATTGGCTGCCATCATCTTCTCAGCCAATGCTGCCATCTTCTCCCTCTCCTGCTTCATCTTCTCACCATGCTTCTGAACCTTCTCATCCTGCTCTCTCATAGCCTTGATCCTCTTCCCCCTCTCATTTTCCAATTGCTCACCCAGCTTCCTCATCTTGCTGACCCAATTCGGGGCAGCAATCCATGGCCATCCAATCCCTGCTGGGCCATACGCCATAGCATCAGCAACAAATACACCGCATTTTTTGGATCCCTTCTCTTGCACCACCACCTCATTCACCCCTTGTAGGGCCCAACTCACTCTCTCATTGGCTACCCAGTTGATGAGTGCCCATCCCAAAACCAATGAACCCCATGCTCCGTGATGCTCTTCTCTGATACCACCTCCACGCGCCCATTCATGTCAATGAGCTCAAGGTCCATAGAGAATCCAGCCTCATAGGGCATCTCCAACTTCATCCCGTGGCGATACTCAATTGGGGCCATCTCCAAATCTTCTCATCCCCCCTACCACGGTGAGGTATGCCTTCTTGACCCATGCCTTCCTATCACCCTTATGCCTTACTCCTCCAACCTTCCTCCAAAAGCAATTGGACCTCAGTCTCCTCTTGGCACAATGCCTCACCCTGCCTCCCATACAAAGTACTTCCAGCCATTTCACTGATGAGCCTGATCTTCCCCCCCCCCTCGATCTGGGAATCTGGGGTGCCCATACTGGTGGTGGCAATGGGAGATTGGCTGCCTTTCTCATCCTTCTTATCCTCCAATGGAAGAAGCTTCTCCTGCTTGGATTTCGCATCATCCTTCTCATGACCCCCATCCTCCAGTGCCTTCTTCTTTGATAGCTTTTCCTTGGCCACATTCTCCAATGCCTTGTTCTTCATGTTCTTCTGCATATGCTTCTTGGCCTTCTTCATCCAACTCTTCTTCTTCTTCTTCTTATCCTGCCCTGCTTCCTTCCTGGTAGCTGATGGCACCATTGCACTCATCACCTCATGCCTGCTCCTCTCCCGCTCATCACCCAATGCCTTGGCAGCATCCCTCACAATTTTCCTATTCTTCTTCCTCTCATTTTGCTTCTCCCTTTTCCTTTTTGCCTCATCGCTCATAGAACCTATATGCCAATGGCAATTGAAATTGGCTGGCATCCTCCCATTCTGGCAGCTCCTCATCAGCTAATCCTGGGATGTTTGCATCTTTGTACACCCTGTCACATCCATTCAACCAAATCAGCCAATTCCTTGGCCCCTTGAATCCTTGTCCAGTTGGGAGGTATGATAACCCCATCCTTCACACGCACCAACCTATTCTTCAACCATCCCTCATGAATCCTGTCACTTCCCAGTGGCATATCCTTTGCCCATGGCTGATCACCATGGAATGATCCAACCATACATACACCAATGAACTGATGCTGCAGGGTGATCACCATTATGCACCAAAACTCATAAATAATCTCCTCTTCATCCCATCAATCTTTTATCATAAAGTCATGTTTTGCCAACCCCCGCATGCCCTCAATGATCACCCAGACATTGCCCAGCACATGGTTTCTCATGATACCACCCAAGCTCAAAAGCTCATTGGTCATCTCTTCTGCTGAGTGCACCATGGCTCAATACCTCACTAAACCAATAGCTTGAGCCCAAATATGCTCCATCAATACTACGCACAATGAGTACCACCCATGGTGCACCCAGCAGGTTCCCAAACTCATGTCCACCATCCATTCCATGGACCCAGCTCCACCACTCATTGCCCACTAGTGGATGAATACATCCCACAATCACCATGCTAGCTGCTTCACCCACCCAATTCCCCAATCCATCAACAATGGCACCAGTTTTATCAAGCCAATGCCTCATCATCTCACCATCTGCGACTCCATACTCGAATGCCCATACTATTGTACTCATCTCCAATTTTCTGATCCCTCTCCCATTGGGAATCATATGCCATAAGGCCATACCAATCCTCTACAAGCCACCAATCATCAGACCATCCAGTCCATGGATCCACCCTCACCACAAATAGCCTCCACCTCCCATTCCTGATCCTCCATGCTCTGATATGCAATGATGCAATTGGCATGGCTCTCTGATCAACTCTATCTGATCTCTTATCAGACTTGTGCCAATACACATGGTTCTCATGGTTCAATCTCTCATGACACAAAATCCCATCAACCATCATCCATCATCAGGTCCAGGTCCTCATCTCATCAGCAGATCATCACCTTCATTAGGGGGATGTGGTCCTCCAATACCTCCAATCTCAGACCTTGTTGACCTTGTTGACCTTCCAGGGGTGGGGAGGGGGGGGCGTTGATTAATCCGGTGTTGACATTAAACATGTGATAAAACATAGGTATACTAGTGACCACTTCACCTGTTTCACACAACGAATTCCAAGCGGCTTCCTCCGGGTTCCGCCCCGGACGTCAGCGTCTCCGGGTTCCGCACCGTCGCGGAGCTCCACGTCAGCTCGAACACCTGGGTCCGTCCGGTCTAGTTGAACAGCGTAGGCGGGGTGGCTCCAAGCGGTCCAGGCCGGGGAGGTATTTTGATGGTCTCCACCCAAACACGACTGTCATGGGACTGGCAGAAAACCAACCTAGATTCACCCCTATAGTCTATAGTAAATATTCCAGCCCCAGTAGTCGTGTCTAGGACATGTTCCCCAGGTGTGGGGATTGACCCAGGAACCGGGAAAATACACGAATCACCTTAAGCAACACCTTCTTGGGAAGAGTTGTGCGTATAACCACCAGCTAGTCAGCTATAGTTTAGTTCTGGTTGACCAGCTTTTGGTCAATGGGATTCAACTGGATTCAATTGGGGGTCAGTCTCACGCAACGTCTCATCTGCCATGCACATTGGATTTCCAACGACCAGCGCAACATCATGTTCAGAACGTGGGGTCTCAGTTCAGGCTGAGACTGGTCCCGCAAAACTGGGAGTTGAGGGCCCCAGGCCCCTGCTTTTCACGGGAACCGATTTTCTACAGAATCCCGGGCCCTTCTCCAATGGGAAAGGTGGTGCCGGGAACCCTGTGAACTGGAGGGCCCGTAAACGGTATACTGGAGGGTCCTGGATGTTGGGTCCAGGTATACCTGCAACCGAGCTCGGTGGCGGTCGGTAGTGCAACCTTTATTTAGGTCTGTGAACCACACAAACATCCGCAACCAAAATAAACATGGGGTTAAAAAAGCAAGTTCGGGTAGAAACGCCCGTAGTGTGTATATAAACGCCGGTGGAATAACTCGAGAAACATCCACAGACTCAAGTATAAGGCTGTGTGACTCCAAAAGATTCTTTAGCATATTAGATAGGATGGCCTGAAATGGCATCGAACTGGGAGGTCTTCCTATAACTAATACACACCCATGCATATCATCCCATATCCCAGTCCTCCGAATTGCCAGCTTTGGGAGTGACTGGAGGGGTCGTGTCGAGACTGTCTAGACGCCGTCAGGATGAAGTGGAAGAGTGGAGAGAGAGACCTGATGAGGTCATATCGTCCGGTCCAGAGCCCCTTCCATCGGATGAGACTGGAAGTAGATGGAGGTCTCAAGAGGGTTGGGCACGTGACATCGACAGAATGACCTGATGAACTTATCCCTATAGACACTGGTGATGTGTTCATCACTGATACACCTATACACTTATCCCAGTGACAGAATGACCACGGATACACCCACATAGACACTGGTGATGTGTTCGACACTGAGACATGTGGCGCCAGTGTTCCAGACATCCCAACCAGTTCCAGCCACGCGAGCCGTGGCTGGTGGCGCCGCCTATAGGTTCACCAGACGGTCCAAATACTGCCCAGACGCTTCCTTCACAACTCGACCCAACCTCAAAACCACCCAGTTCGGCTCAGAGATTGAAATGACCCTCACAACTACAGGGTGAAATGGAGCCTTCAATTATAGGCGCTTCGGTGTTCTCAGGTCGCGTCATAGGTCGGGCCCGATCCGCTTCGGGTCCGATCCTCCCCTTCGCATCCGAAGGTCACAGAGAGTCCGGACCGGTCCGTCCTTCGACTGCGGTGCGCAACCCCTGAGCGCCACACTGAGTAGTGCACTCACAGCCATCTTCACCACCCTCAACTGCATCTCCTGATCACGAGTCGGACCACGGTCCGACACACCACGGTGCGGACACGGTCCACCCCCGGTCCTCACCTCAAACGGAAGGTCCTGGTAGATCTTGGTATAAACTCCCGGTGGACCAGTTATGGATGGTTCCAGGAAACGGCCAAACATCTTCTGAGGAGGTACTTGGAGCCCTAGGGTTAGTACATCTTAAGCCTGGGATTCAAGATGATTCACCTAAATCCATCTTGCGCCATGATTTCAGAGCAAACGAATCGTTGTTTCTCAACCCTCCGGGTCCTCACCCTCCGTTTCTTCCACACCAATTCCCCGTGACCAGCAGGTGATCGGCCCGCGACGCGATCAACGTAGACACCGGACTGACGTACCGACCGGATCGACGTCTGGGAAGAAGGATCACCAAGAGAGGTCGCGACCAATGTGCTTTTTGTTCCATTTCAGGGATACACTTCGATTCAAGGAGGTGGGAGTGTACATACTGGAAAGTGGAATTGAAACATCTTCCACACTGAACCCTATGAGGGCATTCAAACAACTGTCATATAGTTTGATCTGAACTTTGCTGTTACCTGGATCTGGCAGCTGGGCAAAATGTTTGCCTTTTCACAAGACCAACCAAAACGGCAAACACGATGCATATAAAGGTATGATGGTTGGAGACTTTGTGCTCTTTATATGTATAGAATCACCCAGGCAAACCATCCACGCACTCCATGCTAAACCTCATGGCGCTTGGTTTCCTGCTAAACCGAACCTCGGAAGCAGCTGGATTTGGAGAAGACACGGTCCGGACGCTCGGGTTTAGCCCTGCCTCCTGTTCGAGCCTCCGATATCCGTGAGAGATGTCGTGGTCGTAGCAATACTCATCGCCAATACCTCGACGTGGGGATGGAGTCGAACGGCGCGAACAAAGAAGAAAAGGCGACTCAATTCAAAACTGGACTCCAAACAAAGCTCCACACAAACATGCCAAGGGAAGATGGGATGTCTTCCTTCAGTTTGAGTAGAGACCGAAGAAACACCGTGTTTCATGATCTAAGTTCACCCCGGGCGTTATGAGGAGAAATGTTTTTCTCTATATGTTGTATAGAGGCACTATAGAAGTCCAAAGACGATATTTGGCAATACTTTCAGTAAAGAACTGCGCATTTTCGGGTTCGAGATGGTGCTTTTTGCTTCACCAATGTTTCATGCCCCATAAGAAATGCTCACACTCGGATCTTACTCGGCGCATGCATCCCAAAAAATATCACATTAAAAACACAGTAGCACGACACAGAACTCTCTGGCTACCCTTTTTGGAAGACCTGCAATCAACATCTCAGCTGCTTACACCGGCTGCTACATATGTCCTTAGCTAAGGGTTTATATAACCTTGACAGGTTAATAGAAAATCTCTTTAACACCTCTACACCAAAAGGACTAATTAACCTACCAGGAGAGTGAAGGAGAGGGGCCCTGTGATGGGAAATTGTCCAGAGGTGGTTTACTCAGAGATTCTGACGATCGCGATATGTTCTTTTGGCTTAAAAGGAGTTGCTGCAAAAACCAAGAATTATCTGGGTGTTCTTTCGAAGTCAAAAGGTCAAACAAGTCAGCATCAAAGGTCAGGTAGATCAGTCTCACATATTTTCCAATAATATAGGTGGACTCAGCACACATTGACAAACAAACAACACAGTTCTCTCTAGACTTGGTCCGACTTGACGACGATCAACGAAACTTGCACGCTGCTTGGTAGCTCACCCGTATCCTTCCATTCGACAATTTTCAATAAATGACCGGGTGTTTGTGGTGTCACAGCCTTACAAAACCAATGGTTTCAACGAAACAACAAATATACAGCATAAAATCCTTTGTAAAACAATTCAATAAATCATTCAACAATGGTTCTTCCGAATGCAACTCATTCAATGAATGGTGGGTCAGGAAACCTATTCGCTAGGATTCGAGCCACCATTGATTGAATCGTTGTTTACCCAACAAACCGTAAACCTTTGCTTTACTAAGGGCTTTACATTTCCGAATCCAGCTCAATTATTAGATTAAAAAAGAACGAATGGAAGGCGAACTGGTAGAATGTTTTCAACCCCTTTCCCTGGACAATTCTGGACACATCGCCCATATCGCATCACGCCAATCGTCGTAAGCCACCCGTGACCACGCCTGCGGGATCACAGCTGGTGACCACCGTCGGGCTTCCTCGGTGGTGCTCGGTTGCCACGAGATTTGTTGAAATTGCACCGAAATCCAAGTGCCGCATGGAACACGTAAGTTGTAGATGCAAAGTTACGCAGTAACCAGACACTCGGACTGGAATACATGCCTACATTGGCATCTTCTACAAAATAACTCTTTTACTATTTTGTTCATCACTTCCAGGCTTCCTTTGGTAGCTCATGAAAAGGGTTTGGCATGGTTTGACCATCTCCGTGCTTCATCACTTCACCATCCATCTCCAATGGAACCCGCGCATCTCCACATGGTCTTGGATCCACATTGATTTACGTACTCTTTCATTTCATGCTTGTGGAAACGGTCTCATCGCATGGCACACTGCACGCGGAAGAACTGAATTACAGGGCAGGGGCGAACCCTGTAATAGGAGTCCAGCACCATTTTCAGGGCGCGCCATCATGACTAGGGAGCCGTCGCGTGCATCGAGATGATAGGTCCAACCTTCACATTTGCGGTTCGTGGCCTGCCATCTCCTGGCACCTCTGCGCAAGGAGGTCGTGGAACCTCGTCAAAAGTCTTGTCCAACAAGATGATCGTCACACTTGGAGGACCATGCACTGCCAGGGAAGATTTCCTCTCAACGGTATTACATGCTGCGTGTGGCGACCCCGACGATGCTTCTCTCATATTTTTGTCTGTTTTTCCTCTCTTCCCTGGCTCATCTCAAGTAGCATCCCACAAGATTTGACTGGACCGCTTGTCAGCGACTTCGATCTCAGAGATGCAGTCACGCTACACTCTGGGTCATCCACCTGGACACCCCAGGTAGAATCCTAAGACAGCCACAATGCACTTGCAGAAATTCCGCTACTCGAATGATCAGATACTAGGGAAGCTGAAGAAGCCAATGGGGAAAGTGGCTCGTTGGAGTTGGAATACATGGCATCCGCCCAGTTGGAGGACCATTGAGAGGAAACCCCATTGGCACATTGGTATTCAAACCTGTGACATGAAAGTCGTCGAAGTACATGCTGACTATGGGTTTCAGCAAGCGGCGGCCCGACAAACCTCGAATAGCGGTTGAAGCTGGTGACTGCCAACAGGAGTCCAAACAGGGGCTGTAGAACTGCTGCAGCACTGCCAAATCATCTGCGCCCTTCCTCACTGCAAACTTTGTGCCATGACCAATTTCCACAAGGGAGGTAAGTGTCACCACAGACACACATTGCCCAGGATGTGCCAAATGAGCATCACCTTCCCACATTTCCAATTGGGAGGACCGTGCAGCAGTACAACATCACCCTTGCTTACAGTGCCACCATGCTGCAACATCAAAGTGTGGCCCCTAAACGCATCTTGTGCAAAGGGCCAAATTTGCCGTCCAATGTGCAACATTTTCTTTGGCAAAGGTGATGCTTTCAAAAGGCCAGGATCTGTGCACAAATTAGCTGGATCACCCAAAGAATGAAACTCTTCATCAAAGACCCATCTTTCAACTTTTTTGGTGTCGTACATGCTCACAGCGTGCCTGGGCACATCTTTATGCTTGCTCTCTGCTGTAAAGCAAGAAGCTGTCTTCCCATGCTCTTCCAAGTGGGCAGGAAAATGCAGGAGCCAATGATGCGTTTTGATCACTCTGTCTTGCTTCCCATAGCTAGATTGCAGGTGTTCTTTGGACAAAGCACTGGGGTGGGCTGGATACACTACCAAAGCTGGCACACCCACAGGTGTTGGCTCAGGTGAGCTTGCCATGCATCATTTGCTGGGAAAGCACATAAATGCTGTCACCTGTAGGCATCTGGTTGCAATTTTTTTGGCTCATGGTAAAGCAACAAGGCTGTAGCCACCTCTTTGTGCTTTCTTTCATTCCCTTGATCACCCGTGTTTTCATCCTTGCATGTAAGGTACCTGTCCCTGCCACGTACTGACCCTTTCCAATTCGCTCCAATCACAGGCTGTCAGGCACAAATAAAAATTGTCACACTGCTTGGTCTCATCCTGAGATCCAAGGGCCAGCTGCTTTTGATGTGTACTTTTAAGTCACGCAAGTGGGGTCTGGCCTGCAAAAGCCAAGCTTCACCTAGGAAAGCTGGTTGTAGCGAAAAACCCACTAGGTATCAAAAGCGTATACCAGTCTAGACTAGTATCAAACTAGTATCAAATTGAGCTTGTAAAAGCTAATCGAAGCCTGTAAAGCCTGACACATTCATACATAAAACAATGAACTAGTATGGTCGGCCTTTACTGGCTAAGAAGTTGATGAGATCTGGCAGCTGAAACAGTAGCACCTGGATGATGCTAAACCTTGGTCGATGCCCAGTACCGTATACCTGGAACTTCAGTCCTCGTCTTGAAGTGATTCGGGGTGTCTAAAGCACCATCCACAGGGTGGTGCTGGGAGTGGCTTTCATTCGTCAAAGGCATGCTTTTGGAGTGACGCTGCAACTTCTGTTACAGGAGAGGCAACAGCAGCAAGCAAAGGTGCAACACAGACCATCGGGTTCATAACAGATGCGGCGGCGTCTGGCCGCCATATTGCTGCTGACTTTGCTCAAGTCATCTTCTTGCTGTACTTGCGCTTGGCAGGCTTCAGCTTCAAGAACATGCGCAATTGGCTGAGAATTTTGTTGCCAAAGGGAGCAAACAAAAAACCTATAATATGATGCATGTTCAATCCACATGTGTCTTCAATCTAAGGATGAGCAAAAGAGAACTTGAGCTCAAAGGAGCTTGCTGGAAGGGCCCAATTGTGATTACAATGTTCACAAACCCTGCACTGTGATCACCTGGAAACGACTTCAAGTAACTGCCCTAAGAAACTGGGATAGGGCCCAAAGGATTCGATCCACCTATGGATTTCATGGGTTTGGACTGAAATCACCAGCTGTTTGATCATGTTTGATCCATATTGCTTCCCTCCCCAGCAAACACCCGGATGCATTCCAAGAGACGACCACCGGATGGTAAGGTGGACAAGGCCGCATGCAACGCCTCGAAGCTTAGCTTCGTCCGACGAGGCGGACGGGGTGCGGCCCCTCAAGCTTCGGTATGAGGACCGACCCGTCGTCGTCACTTGGCACCGTCTCATGTCTCAGTCCCGAAGCAAAACGAAGGGACTGAACCGGGTACGACCGTTTGGGAGCTGAAGAACACTGTCAGCACGACCGCAGCACCGTTTGGGAATTGGCTTATATTGACTGACTCCCGAGCTCCGGCCAGGGGTGGTTTGAGGTGTCAATATATATGTATATATGACCATAGATAGAGTATAGTGCCATAGTCCGATGGAGTGTCTGGGATCGGCTCTCTAACTAAGTTCTTCCCATCCTTTTCCATCAAACGCCAGATCTAGCGTCCTTCCAAACAGGTCCGAACTTCCGATCAGGAAGACGAAGATTGGAACTTCCATCGATGATAGCAGCTCTTATCACTTCAAGTACCAGGCACCCAGGCACCCAGTACCAACCTGCCAGGTCACCTGTCTGGTTTGACCTGATGCCTCAGGGTCCTTTGAAAACTCCCTCCATTTCGGAGACCTGGCACACCGCCAGGCCGGGGTGCCATTACTCCTGCGTGTAAAAGGACTGCAGAATGGCCATGACCTGAAGCATCCCCCTTTCTTCGCCTGGGAAACCCAACCAGAAACTTGATGTTTCTCGAGTCCCAGCCATTTCCTAGTAAAGGCTTTCAAGATCTTTCAAGCAAGGCCATATTGGAAGAACCAGCGCTGTTTCTTGCTTGAAAACCGGGAAGCTCGGTCGGCAGGTCTGACCAATCCATCCACACCCGTTCACCGCCGACCGAGCTGTCCGTCGGGTGCCATTTCATGTTCCGAATTGATCAAGCTTTGACGGAAATGTCCACCATGACTTCGTAAGACATCCCTAACACTTGTTTCAGTGGAATTGGTCCATTCAATTGCCATAGAAAGTCCTGGACCACCATGCATTTGATAGCCTGAATCCCGAAGAACCGGCTTTACGAAGGATTTTACACTTTACCAGACCAACAATTTTGGACATGGTCTTGGACTTCCAGGGAATTCCCAGAACAGGTTATACAGTGTCGCATGATTTGTGCAACCCTAGGTTCTTGAAGATTCATTCGTTGGGCCACCTACGTCATGGGCCATGCTGACATTCCAGTGAGCATGGATCGAAGGAGGAAAAAACAAATGTCAATGGAACAAAAAAAACGGGGGGGACCCTGGTTGACCACCGGAATGAACAGAATACCCTACAAGTCCAGTCTGACCCAGATCCAAACCTGGTCTGCCATACCTCCTGAAGTATGGGTTTTGCATGACCATCTCCAGTATTTCATGAGGTCAAGCTGACTTGTAGGGATAGGAGATTACCACACATGGAAGAACCTACCAGCGTGAAAACGAGCGAAAACAGCACCATGACATGACCCACAGCCAGGCGTTTCTGGCTGTTTTTGCCACCGTGAAACCAGCGTATTTGTATCCTGGTTGGTGGTTTCAACTCACTTGAACAATATTAGTCTGTCAGTGTCAATCATCCCAAGTAAAGGTTGAACTCATAAGTATACCCTGAGAGTCAAAAAACTATAAAAAGTATGGTCGGACTGTGACCCGAGTCCAGGACTTTCCTGAACACTTCAGTCGGTCAAAAGAATAGTATGAATAGTCGAACTGGACTTCTACCAGGACCTTCCAACAGGTCACCACCTGTGACTTTGGGTCGTCTACAAAATCCTCCATTTCGGAGACCTGGCAGTGAAGGTGCTGGTATGGGGTGTATATACCTGGACCCTCCAGAGTACCCTAGAAAATGGGACATGACCCTAAAAGGACAGGTGCTTGTACCCATTTCCCAAGGTACGAACTGAGACTCCAGGTATCTGATATATTCGATCTGGAAGCAGCAACCAGTGGCTGCGACTGAGGGGCAGTGCGACCTTCTCGATCGATAGAGCCTGTGCGGGCCTCGGAGCCCGGGCAGAGGCGTTACGGCCGGTTGGAGATCGGTACCCGGAGGCCAATTGGCGAAAGGTTCGAGTGTCGTTCTCGTTTCTTCAACCTGGAAAAACCAAGGATCTCTTGAGACTCTGTCTCATGACCCCAAAACTGAACGGAAACACTGAAGTGTCTCATCAGCAGCTCCAGAGCGGTGTTGCTCCGTCCCGGAAACCGCGGAGGTGAGAAAAGGGTACCGGAAGGCGGAAACCGCTCCGTTCGCGTCCGGGCTACCCCAACCCTCATCCGTTCGTTCGGACACCGGGAACGACGTTCTAGGGAACGACCTGGCTGTTGTCGCGTTCACGTCGACGTCTGAATTGGCGGTGGCGGTTCTTCCATCCAAAGAACTCAGGTGCCGCACGGACGAAGAACAAACACACACAACTCCCAGAGTGTTCATCACTGCGATCGAAAGGAGCTTCGTTGATGAACATCAAGAGACCAAGTGGAGAGAAGCCTATAGGATTCTGGTCGCCCTCCATGGATTTGATTGGTTTCATTGAGCAATCAAGTGTTTTGTTCAGGATCATATCAGGTAAACCGAACTTTGTATGATCTTCTCGGAAGGCGATAGGGCAACCCAGCGAAAATTCATCAACTTCAAACCACATCTAAGTAGAGAGAAAGTCATCGTTATTCTAAGCTCTCATCCTCGCGACTTCAACTGGACGGTTGCTTTGAGAGTAACACGTGGATATTTCAGCCACTTCAGCCATCGTGGTGATGAAAGCAAGTATTCTATACAGTATACCTTATACCAACTTCTTCAGTTCGTGAGCAAACTCTGGGGTCCCAGTCACCATTCCCAAGCCGGTTCGTGACCGAACGAGTTCCCAGGGGATTGTTCGTTCGGTCACGGGTCCTGAAGAACCAGGAGAGTAACAACGCACACACCACTTTCTGACTGCTCACTCACATACACACGCACACACACACACACACACCCTTCGGAGCCTTGTATGAACAATGTACTTCTCCCAAGTCGCTTAAGGAGCTCCAATGGAGATGTGTGGTTCCAACGTTAACTGCGGCAGAACGCTGAGCTTCCACACTTTCGCGTCCAGCAGAATGCGGACGACCTGTCTGCGTGGAAACAGCTGGGCCGCACCCCACCCAGCATAGTCAGCAGGAGGTGAAACATGTGGCTTCTACATGCCCGGTTGTTTTTGGACATCCCTTAACCAGTAAGAGGCTATTTATAGACAGCTCTTGGATGGTCCTGTTATGCATAAAACTAAAATGAATTTGTTGTAAGACGATTCCTTTCATGCGTTGGTCCGCACATCCTGTTCGGATACAACACTGGCTTAAAATTTGACTTATTCTGGTTGGAAAATCAACCTGTTCCTACAAACACACCTTTGAGAAAATCAACATTCTTACAAGCCATGCCTTGGCAAAAGGTTTGTACCCTGGCCTTGCAAAACACGTAAAAGAAAGGTTGATCTGGTTCTATTTTGCAATCTAAAATCCTTAGTCAAACAATGACTGTTCAGAAACACCCATCAAAGCACTGGGGCGACCGGAAGCTGACAGGGTACACCTGGACCCACACTACAAGTAGCGACGCATGAAGCTTAGGGTATATACACCGTCCTGATGAGGCTCTGCTTACCTCCCTATACCAAAGAGGTGTTGGTATATATAGCCCCGTGTCCGAGGTGAGGAACCAGAAGTGTCCCAAAAAGCACCCGGCTGGGCGAAAGGAAGGTCCTTCTAGAAGTCCAGTTCGACTGAGTATAGAAGGGCCGGGAATTTCCTGGACTCCGCTCGCCTGTTCAGGCAAATTCTTTTATATAAGTGGTCCACTGCACTCCCAAGGACCATGAACAAGAAACAAACTCCACAGGGACATGATGACATGATCATCCCCATAAAACAGCCACCCAAACACTGTGTTCTTCCTTACCCCAAACTCGAATCCCAAAAACGTTGCTTCAACGATCGCAAAAACGGATCAACGATCGCAAGGTGCATGGATCCGAGGACCCCTTCCCATCGACCGACGGGGATCCCTTCGTTCGACCAACCTCGGGTCGTGGCACCAAAGCAGCGTAGTGTAGGGCCTGACCGCAGGTCACCGTTGGTCCGGACGCTTTGCCCAATGGAAAAGAAACTGTGTTGAGGTTGACTTGTCTGGGTTCTTGTTAAATGTTTGTTTTTCTGATCCCACTCTAAACAACTTGGAAGTTTCAGGAAGTTTCAAACAGAAATGGATCACAGCAACTTGGAAGTTTCAGGGAGTTTCAAACAGAAATGGATGACAGCAACTTGGAAGCTTCGGAAAGTTTCAAACTGAAATGGGTGACAACAACTTGGAAGTTTCAGGAAATTTCAAACAGAAATGGATCAGGCAGTTTCAACCGAAAACTAACGCTGCTCAGATCAGTAGCAAGGAAGTCTTAAAGTAAACTACTGATCTGATCAAGATTATGAAACCTAACCATGAAACTTCCAGAAGGTTCAAAATGGAACTCAAGGAAGTTTCCGTAAATTTCAATCAAACAGAAGGTTAAAACGCCGTAAGTTTCTGGAAGTTTCAAAGCTCAGCGCTCTGGTGTATTTGTTTAAAGCCGTCAGTTTAAATGCTGTTGTCAGCCCTGTTGTGAAATGCCTTGTTGAACATTGGATGTTGGTCATGTCACGCACACGCAAAGCGACGCACACACACACAAGAAATGGAGAGAGAAAGAGATGACCTTTGCTAATTAAAAACAAGTTTCATTTGCATGATTTTTTGTAGATATCTTCTGGCAGATGCGCATGAGTAAATGTGTTGTGAGAACCTGATCTTTAGGTGTGTATATTCAAATCACGTTTCACTTCAGCTTGGGGAGGAAAGGGTAGCTGAGCGCCGAAAGGTGCAAAATAGCGCCGAAAGGAGTGTACCTCATTGTTTTGTTTCTTTGGGAATCGTTGGACTCACCCAGTCTCGGCCTTTAAAACCCGGTCGACTGGCTAAATAGAATGCTTATGTGTGTTGTCTCCGAGCCCGGTCCTGAGTCAAGCGGCAAGGAATCTTGTTTTTTGATTTGCAGGCTGTATTGAAAGATGTATTGAAAAAAAATGTTTTGCTTGGCCCCTCCCAAAGATGTTTTTGATGTATTGAAAATCACCACCTGGCTTTAACATCTTTGGGAGGGGCCAAGCAAAACTTGAAAGATCGAAGCCCGAAGCGGCACTCGTTGCGCCGCCTGGACTGACTCTTCTGAAACACCGATGACCAATGATGCGATGGTGCGTTCTTTGCTGAAGTGAACTGCTGAGTGTGAAGGAAGTGAAGGCGAGTGTGAAGTGATGAAGCCTTGGATCCGTCTGACTTCCAGGTATGACACAGCCGTTGCAGTCTATGCCAATTTTCTGCAGCAAGCCCATGTTTTGTCTTTCGTGCTATACGACACCACAAATGGCAAGTTGAAAAGGTTGCAGAACTGTTCATTGCTCCAAGCGCAAGCTGAAGTGAAACGTGCTTTGAATATACACACCTAAACATCAGGTTCTCACAACACATTTACTCATGCGCATCTGCCAGATGATATCTACAAAAAATAATGAAACTTGTTTTTAATTAGCAAAGGTCATCTCTTTCTCTCTCCATTTCTTGTGTGTGTGTGTGCGTCGCTTTGCGTGTGCGTGACATGACCAACATCCAATGTTCAACAAGGCATTTCACAACAGGGCTGACAACAGCATGTATACGCGCCAATTAAAATCCACCAGAGCACTGAGCTTTGAAACTTCCAGAAACTTACGGCGCTTTAACCATCTGTTTGATTGAAATTTGCGGAAACTTCCTTGAGTTCCATTTTGAACCTTCTGGAAGTTTCATGGTTAGGTTTCATAATCTTGCTCAGATCAGTAGTTTACTTTAGGACTTCCTTGCTACTGACCTGAGCAGGTTCTGATTGAAACTTCCTGAATCTTCCAAGTTGTTCTGAGCAGGATTAAAAAAGATCCTTTAACAAGAACCCAGTTGTGGTTCAGATTGCGGAGCTGTTGTTTGTGCTGGCTGTATCTATGTCATCACACCCTTTAAGTAGTACAGTCAGTCTGCATGCCCTGGACACTATACCAGCCGACTCTTGAGGATAATGGTCTGACTAGGTCGAACGGTGACCCGGAACCAGGCATGTCCTGTACTTCAGTTGGTGGGCGAAATATCATCCAACTGGTCCAACTGGAGGTTTTAGAGATAGTAACAAGAAGCTACTGGGGGCTCCTGGCATCGCTACTAGGAGCAAGGACGCTAGAAGCTACTAGGGGCTCCTAGGTTCCCAGGGAAGTGCGGTTCAAAGCACATGCCCCCCCAAACTAGCACTGGGGGCGGTGGTGCTTAGCAGCTATGCGTGGAATCGTCATTTGTCTCAATCCATCCATCAGCCGCATTCAGTGAGCAAGTGCACACCACTGAAGTAAGACCAAGCAATAGAAGTCCAATAAAGTCTACTTCAACTACGTTTTGTCCCACTGAAGTGAAGAAAGTTCCTGGACTGGGTTACCTAGTCAGACCGTCAGACCATGGCCATCGTCTAAGTTGGAGCATTGTTGCTCCAAGGAATCCAATTTCAAGCTTGGAGGCTTCAAAAAAAGATGTTGTTCTGGTGCATGCTGCAGCTTTTCCATTGAGCACCTGTCCAGAAAGCTAAAACAAAGACTATAGACCAGACTCACCTGTACTGCTAAGATGTGCCTTCTTTTGAACAAACACCAAGCAGTGTTTGGAGCCCAACAGCACCCCGTAGCCGTGTTGTGGCCGATAGGGCGAGGAGCCCATCAGCCATGCGCACCAAGCTCGTATGTTGTGCATCAAGGTTCGGATTGAGCAGGCCACTGGATGCTGCCATGGAGGTTGCGGCCTCTCGCACTTTGGATATGACCGTTGCTAGTTGGCCAAATCGATTGACCGCCCAAGCCAAGGTATCCAATAAGGCCTCAACGGTGATCTCTCCAGATGGCACTGGCATAGGGTCACTGACGCTGCCAGTCCCCGTGTCAGATCTGTCCTGGGACATATTCTGCAGGCACACGAGTTTTTCGAAATAGCTCCATGCGAGTGTGCTTGCACCGCCCCTCATATGGAAAAGGCGGGCTTCACAATCTGGCAATTCCTGGCGGAGATCCGCCAAACTCTTGCCAGAAAGGGAAATCAATCCTTCCTCCAAAGGCGCCGAAGGAAAGATATCGCTGGCATTTGCCCTCCACTGGACTCAATACCTGACAGCTCAGTCATCAGCCGCTTCATGAGGTAAATGAATTTCTCCAAATTGGTGGCCCCTGTATGCCACCTCGTGGCCTCACAACGTAGGTCATTCAGGGCACTCACCTCGAGCAAGGTGGCTGAAATCTCACTCTGAAACTGACAGTCTGCAAGCTCCTGGAGGCTGACTGTCAACAAGTCACGTCCAGGAAATCGGTACGAAAACGGATCCCTAGGGCTTAAAAGAATCCTCCAGAGGGTTTTTCCGGAGGTTCAATAGTTCAGCACCGTGACCAGCTTCTCCCACTTCTGGTTTCGCTCGACCCTGACCCCGCTTCTTGGTTGGCAGCCCTTTTTTTTCGCTTCGCAATGGACAAGGGGCAGCCCTGAAACGGCTGGTTTCCCTGGGACTCGGGACTGAACTCTTTTGCCCCCTTCAGTTGGGGGAACGTGTTTGTTTGGGTCGACGGTCGATGTGGAGGCCACAACAACTCCAAATCCCATGGATCTTTTTCTAAGATGTTTTTTTTCTGGGCCCGTTCGCCGGTCGAAACTCGCCGGTGTGCGCCGTGTAGCCGTAGTGGGTCTGACAATCCACCGCCTTGGGCGACCGAGCCGCGGCGAGGATTCGGGGCGGTGGAGGACGATGGTAAGCGGAGAAGCGGAGAACGACCCAAAAAGCGGCTGACTCCGTCAGAATTATACCTGGAACTCAGACATGACCTCTGTTCTGATACAAAAAGACCATATTTTGGGTGGTTGGTGGTCCAAAATAGAGGTCATTCAGGTTCTAGGTATAATATACAGCTTAACCTTTTTCATGCCTGTTCTTGAATCCCCCAAAAAGTGACTGGGCAGGATGGAATTGCACCTAACCTGTTCTGATAGATACCCTAAAGGTCCAGTGAGAAATGATCGTTCGCCCCACCAGAAGGTTCCTGGACTGAGATTAGCTAGTGAAACGTTTAAACATATATGAGACTATTTCATTATAGTCATATAGTCTTAGCCTCCCAGGGATTTTAAGATACTGATACAGGGTGAGAAGAAGTTCCAGGTGGGGAGAAGCGATTTATCGGAGGTCCCCATCATGAACCGATGGTTTGTTCCACGTTGCTTTCCAAGTTGGGCCTGGCCATGGTGTTCAAGAGCCTGAAAGCAAGATTCCCTATTCAAAAGCCTATCTGACTTTTTCCTTGAATAGGGGATCATAGAGGATCCTTCTCACCAGGTTACCAACACATAGTGGACAACCTATACCAGCACCTTCACTGCCAGGTCTCCTCCATGGCAACTTTTGCAAACTTAAAATGCCGCAGGTGGTGACCTGGCAGTGAGGGTCCTGGTATACATGCAGTGCATCATCAGCCCAACAGTGCGGTTGACTTCCATGGGTGAAGCCCCTTCTAACCGCACAGAACTGCCTCCATTACATGGACCTGACCACGTGTTACCCTTGGTCAATGCTCGTGCTGAGGGTTCCTTTCAGCTCCATACCTTGATTCGATGATTGAACATTGGGGAGCTGCCTTGCAGCATCCGGGACAGGAAATTGCAACAACATGCTGAAGTCCTAGAGATCCAGTGGTACCGAACCTCAGAAGCTACGGCACGACTGGACACACTGCTATATAGGTGGTCTTGGATGGTCCAGGAGGATACCAAAGCTGAGGTTCGGTACGAATGGATTTCCAGGGTATACGGAACCAGGGACAGGTGCATTCTTGTAGCGAACATCCACGGCGCCATGGACTTTCAATTCGCAATCATTTCATCAACTTCACCCGCAAAACATGCGCATGGAAGGCGCAAACTATACGCCTGGACTTCCGTGACTTCCGCGTCGGACGAAGACGGCGTAGGACGTCTTCGGGGGGTCTTGGTGCTCCAAGGCCGTCAGATTCCATGTTACCAGGCCGTCTTCACTTCTCGTGACGGGCCAGTTGATCTGTACAACATCTGAACACCTCCCACGGCAAGTCCTTCGGTCCCATGGTTACACTCGACGGAAGAAAGACCGTGGATGACGCTCTGATGTTTCCTCTATACAATGGTGACGCCATCCACTTCCATGTGATGTGTCCCCCAGAGTGTACAGTATGAACTATCTTCACCACTGAAATCATCCAAATGCACGCCGTTTTTGGCTGAAGTTAGCTGAAAACGAGAATAGGTGAACATCTTCCAACACCTTACCAGTGGAGAAAAACAACATGCATGATTGTTCGGCCCAATACTCCTGAAATCATGGAAGGTACCGAAGGTACCTGTATCTTCCAACGACGTCTCCATTTTCATGAGCGTCTTTGCTACGTTCGTAGCGATAGGCCAGGTTCGCCCCTCACTCGTCGCGTCCGATCGCGAAATCATGGTGACGGTCAATGTGAATGTGGCCATTACAATTTGGTGAGTCAACACCTGGACCTCCCTGGTAGATTGACCTCCCTGGTAGTCTATTCTCTGCATGTTCGGCCCATGGGCCTCAACTGACAGCTATTTCAGGGAGCCTATAAGGTGGCTTGGAGTGCCAACAACTTGCTCCTGGTAGCGTCCTTGCTCCTAGTGAGGACAGGAACCCCTACAAGTAGTAGCTTCTTGTTCCTCTCCGGGTTGCTCCGCATCCACCACCCGCTGGGGGTCCTGACCGCCTTCTTCGCTAAGAGCCACCCCGACGCCGCCGACCTGATCACGTGGCCAGTGGATCCACCGATGTCGCACCTCCGTACCAAGGAGTCACATGGTCGGGGTGGAGTGTTTAGTGGTCCCTAGAAGCCTGGATATGAAGCACGCAGCCGGAACTGCTGTGGCTTTAAAATGGTTTAATAAAAATACAAGATCCGTACCTATGGGCATCGAAAACAGAGTTGAGGGCACGCAAATCAACATGTTCCTTTTCGGGGAGCCCGAAAGTTACACATGTTCGGTTGGAGAGTTGGACTAGTATGCATGGTGTAGTACTGTAGACTCTCAAACAGAAAAATCTGTATGAAAATGTGTTTCAATCCGAATGGAGTTCTATTATCAAACTTATATATGTGATAATACGCGCAACCTTAGACTGCCACTGAATGAAACTGGTGGCTACATCGCCGTGGCGATGGCGGTGGGAAAACGAACTGTCGAATATTGAGAAGATCTGAATTGATGGTGGTCCGGTGGCTGGTAGCCACTTCTAAATGCCCATAAATGCCCGCTCCATCTGAACAAATCTGTTTGCGACATGCTCGAGAAAGCACGCCCGATAGTGGCTGCAGCACCCTCACACCATCGGCTGCTCGCCGTTACCGTGGAAGTCTTCAGCGGCGGAACGACGCGGAGAATTGGTCTTCAGAGTCTTCAGGTGCATTCTTTGGGGGGGGTATGGCAATAGGGCAAGGTCCTGAATGAGATCTCACACCCCTCTAAACATGGACGTGGACTACTGCCCCCCCTCACGGAAGGACGTTCTTCAAACCTCAAAGGGCTCCAATGACAACCTCAGCTCAAGGAAAGGTATTTAGACACTCCTGGCACCCATCCCCTAACATCTTATCAAAAGGTCGTTGAAGACCCAGGAAATGCAGCTTTTCAACCAAACCATGTTGGTTGGATACACACTAATTGCCAGGAGCCCAACCATGAAAACCATCCAGAACCAGGCGTTCAGCATTCTAAGAAGAACGTTCCAATTGTCCAATGCAGCCTAGTAGTAAGGAGTGGTGGCAAAAGGAGTCAATGTAACTAGTGTGTTCAGCACAGTATGACTCCAAGGATTGTCTGGGATATCTGGTCCGTGCCGGGCTCCGAAACGAAGATGCTTGGGGTCTGTTCCTGCCTGAGGAGATGGGACCCGAGCCCAGCTCCTGTCTGACGACCAAATATCCGAAATCCCCCAAAACTGGACACTGGACATGGAAAAGAGGACGTTCGAACCAACTCTGAACATCTGTTTAATCTATTTTAATCTATAGGCCAGTGCAAAAACCCTGGACATGAACATAGATCATGGACTGGACGCTGATTAGTGATTAGTGGGACCCCCCTTTACTCCCTAGGGCTCCAACCACCTCCTGAGAAGATGGTTGGAGTGGGTGCCAGGGGGGTCTAACCACCGAACCTGAGGATATGGTTGGAGCCCTAGGGACTAATCAAGATCCAACGTAGATCATCGTCTTCCCCATCCAGGTTCCGCCTTCCTTCTGCCCGAACGGCAGCCCGAACCACTGGTGGCCGTGGCACTGGCCGCTCGCTGCAGCCACCATGAGCCTCGCTTCGACCCATCACGGCCTTTCTCGCACTCGCCCAGCCGTGAAAAAAACCCACTAAGAGGTGTGTCAGGTGTTGTGTTTGGCCTATGAATCCATAGGGTTTCATGGAAGTGTTTGGGGAAAACTGAACATCTTCCAACAAGCAAAAGACACAGAGCAGCAAAACCAGCCTACAAACTCCAACAAACCAGTTGTTTGAGCTCTTTTTTCTCCAAAGCTCCTCGTTTTCTCGCAGGCTTCGTGGTGTCCGTGGTTTCTTTTGGGGTTCCAACCACCTCCTGGCGTCACCGGTCACTGCGCCGCGGGTGTCCAACCGTCGGCTCGTTGGCGCGGATGCCATCGGGTCGCGCGGTGCGGCCGTTCTGGTCGGCGACGTCCAAGGAAGCACCTCCCCGCGGCTCGTCCGAAGGAAGGCGAGCGAGCGCGAAAGGAGGGGGCGGTTCCCATCTCGGTCGACCGGGTTGGTCGACCGAGATGGAGATTGGATGGTTTTCTTCGGATGTGGTGTGATCTGCTCATGATTTCCTGGTTCTCTTACAACCTGAGAAGCTGCAAAACGAAAGCCAGCGCTTCCCTTTCTCGACAACTGCGCGTCGAAGCAAGCAAATGAGCTCGCGCAGCTGCTTGCGGCCGCGTGTCAAATCTGCTTCATGTCTTGTTCTGCCCACACAGAGGTAACCATGTCAAAACAAAAACCTGCGCTTCCTGGCAATTGAGGGGTTCGGTGTCATTTTGCCCGGATTTTTCCTCTGCACAGGGGGGGGGTTTGGATGGAATCCGATGTTTTAGGCCGTAGCCAAATCTATCCACATTGACATCATTTGGTGTCTACCAGGACCTTCAAAGTGACCGTCCGAGATCCCAGAATGAGGTCACTTAGTCACTTAGTCCCGAATGAGGTCACTTGGAGACTCCAAAGAGGTCATTCTGAAGGTCCCGGTGTTTCATTCCACTTCCAGTAAGACTAAGATCCTTTGTTTCTGGTGGCTATGCGCAAGCGACTCATGCTCTTCAAGGAGTGCTATAAGTGAAGTATCGGAGTGCTCTTCTGAAGCTAGCCTGGGTCCGTATAAATACTATTTGCTATACCTCTTACACACCTACACAAGTTCAAAGCACGAATGAGACTTCAAAGCTGTGGATTGCTGTGCGTGTGTAGAGGCTATCGAGCGGTTGACGGAAAGGGAACTTGAAGTACTATACCTGGTAGCTGCACTATAGCTACCCTGGGTCTCTATACCTAGCAAGGTGCCAACTACACCTTTATTTTCAAGATAGCCTGAACAGAGTGTTTTAGGGCAGCAAACCGTGGTCTCAGGCCACCTTGAATTTAG